GGGAATCTGGCTGATGGGCTGGCAGATAGTAGGGAGAGGAGGAGAGCTGATCAGCATCGTGATGAAATAGCGGCTGCCATGTGGGCAGATTACTTAGAAGAACGAGCTTGGTGTGGACTTGAAGTACCGGCACCAATGTAAGACTTAGTAGGCAGTATCATTCTTGTTGAATTACAGACTGTAGATGGACAACAATTGTACATATTGGTAACAGTGAGACTTGAACAGATACTTGTAGTATGACCGGTGACCTGCACCAAACCGGTTCGGTGCATGGACGACCAATACTCTCTCATGAGTCATATACCCTGAAATACCACTATGAAACCCTTTTCCCTTTTATCTGAAGTTGGACTGAGGCTAAGGGAATATTTTTTTTGCTTTTTTTTATTTTTCAAGTCTATATGCCAGCAGCCTGAATATTTTAGTACATTTAATTCTGCGATGAGTTTTGCTTAGTCAGCCATGGTGATGACTCAGACAAAATCCCACACATGTCAGGTGACTGTGAAAAATATTTCCCACATAAGTTGTCCTGGAAAAACATTAGTAAACCCCTAAATACTAGGCTCGCGTCATTCTCACCCTTCAAACAAAGCAAAGCAAAGACAGCCACACACAGGATTCATATCATGTGACACTTCTTACTCTCTTTCTGGATTTGTCATCAGGGGTTGGACAGGTCACATGACTTAGCAAAATACCCAATGACTCACTATGACTCCCTCTGAATATATGACTCACTATGACTCACTATGACTCACCTTGCACATATGACTCATTATGACTCTTAATGACTCTTGAATACACTAGTAGCACAGCCACATTTATTGTGTATATAATGACCCCAGTTTTTGAAATAATAACAAGCAGATACCAGCAGGTAGTAGGGTGTTTCTCAGCCCAACTAACACTAAGTTGTGAAGTAAGGTGTGATAAGTGTCAGTACCAGTGTCAAGAACTGTTTCCAAGACTGAGAGGAACATTCTCAAGAGGACAGTAATACTGCAAGCTCATCATAACTGAACGTACCCGCTGTGAGCTCACTGTGTGCAGCAACCAGCAAGCAAGGTACAGCCACACTTTTATTCTGATTTCCTATATTCTTTTTTCTTTTCTTTTACTTTCACTGACCTTTGGTGTTCTTTGTCCAAAAATACTGATCCAAAATATTCGTGTTGTCTCTACGTCCACCTAAGACTCAGTAGTAGCATAGTGGGGAGACTTTAGGAATTGATAGTGAAGCTTGACCTCACTCATCTGAGTAGTGATACTGAGCCAAGATATTCTGTGCCTGCTAGGCTTTAGCCGTTGAAGAGGGGACTTGGTAGTAAACCCAAGGACGTCCGTTCCTGAGTCTGTTTGAATACTCAAAGAAGAGTTCCTTGACAGCAGGTTCAATATTGAGCTAAGAGTTCTACAATAAAGCATTTGACTAGTCTTGACCTTTGATTCTACCTGTTTTGTGCTGAGGGAGTTTATCATTGTAATTCCGCACCATTTCTTTGGAGTATAGTTGGTACGAGGCACTGTTGTTGAAAGGGAACTTGAGGAAGAAACCCGTATATTCTTTTGGTCATCGCCCATACTGTCAGACTGACCATTGTCTGTTTGTTTTCTGTCAAGTCCATAGATTGGATTGACCATCGTATTACTGATCTTGCAGAACTATCCTTAGCTGAACATACCTTGGGTAGTATACAACTAGCCACCCACGAACGACCACGTTATCAGTCATTGGTATTTGTCTGAATCGTTGACCATGGAGATATTTGTTTTTATAGGTGTTTATCTATAGATCATCTATCTAAGAAGACACCGGCACCATGAAAAAGACTAGTACTATTAACTACTTACAAGGTAGTACTGGTAGCACCATGACAAATGACGGAGAGCTTCCTCCATGCCCACGTGGCCCTAAATTCTGTACCATGAAAGTTAGCGAACACAACTGCTTCAGTTGGGTTTGATGATAGGTAGTCCATAAGGTCCATAACATCATCCATACTCAAACCCTTGGTCTGAGTAAGCAAGTTGATGGCGCATCCAAGGTCACTGGAAGGAGGATGGTCTGACACGGCAGTGTGGATGCCGGCCTCGGAGGTTGTGGTGAGGCTCCTGATGATATGAGGCAAGATGTCTGCAATTGAACGTTAGCGCCGCACTACCCTCCTGCTGGGCCGCTACAGATGCCGAGGGAGCACAGGACCACTTCTGTGATTGCCATTCTCCTTCATTTGGCAGTGCGCTAAATTTGCACTTAGCCCGGCTGACACTTGTCAGCCCCAAGTCGCTCATAGTGGAGGAAAAAGTGATGATACAGTCCACCCACTGGTAGGTGGCCGGGAGTGTGAGCTCGAGGATGGAGGCATCATGGATGCCTGGGCCAGTGGAGACAATTGATCTCGTCAGTAGCAGACACGAGCTGCATCAAATTCATGGTGTTATGTGCAGCAGGAGTCAGAGGATAAGGTGGAGGGGGCATCATAACAGCGCTGGAAGATGACGACTCAGAAGGTGCAGCTGGGACCATCAGGCCGGCCTGGGGCTGACACTTGACAAACTTTCCTTTTGCAGTGCTTGGCCTATGGGGCATGATCTGGTCGATTGTGTTGAAGTGCAAGAACCCCTTAGTCTTGAATGGTTTCGCAGCGGGACTGTTCTAGTATTGCAGGTATTTTAATGACAGGGTAGTTAAAAATGGGTGCATTGACTTACCTTGACATATTTCTCCCAAATGTCCCCATGTGCATCTGTAATTCCTGCTCCAAGCTTGTTACTCCATGAAAAGCCTGATGTTTTCTTGATGTTGATGATGGCGTTGTAAGAAGCCTTTAGCTATTAAGACATAGTTACAGTAAGCTGCGGCTGGCAATGGATGATTGTGATTGTGCTTACATTGGTCCACTTTGTCTTGCAGACATTTGCAGTCTTTTCCCCTCCACGCTGATTAGGAAACACCTGACTGATATCAGCAGCAGCTCCTTGAAAGGTCGACTTTTTGAAGCTCATGGTGTCCCCAGCCTGCGCCTTATGGGTGAGGAGGTACTGGAGGAATCTTGCTTCTTCATCATGTGTCCAATGTGCAGGAGCTTTACAACTTCTATCCAATCTTGGTAGCATATCTTTGTCTTGGATAGGTCCCTGTAATCTGAGGGAATGAGTAGATGATACAGAGCCATCGCTGAGAGACATGGTGGTGGTATGATTAGATGCGATAACTTTTCGAGCGGGACGATGTGACGTAATAGCCTTTCGAGTAGATTTACCCATATATCTTCCCCCCATGCCCCCCATTGAGGCTGATGATTGATAGGAACTTGTAGATGAGGAATCCGGGATCATCCAGATGAACTCGATATCGTCACATGACAGCGAATATTGAATGTTGAATATTACATAACGCTGTCTGTACATAGCCTGACCTATTGATACATCACCAAAAGCCAACACATCAATGATCACCATTGCGACCACATATTCAGATAGATGGATCTCACTTTCCATGCTGTTGCCTGAAAGGACGCAGAGCATATGGGTGCACAGTAGAACGAACAACATTAAATTATACTTGAAGAGACTTGACACAAAGGAACATGTCCATATCCACGGTGTGCATAATGAAGTAATCTCCATTGATTTCTGGATCTTTGGCGAGTGCAGCACCTCAGATAATCAACCAGACCGAAATGATCTCAGATGATGACCAAGGTTTTGCACGTACACGCCACAATCCCAGATCAACATCCCACCTTCGATGAATACCGATACCAGCATCATAAGGATGTATAAGGGCCAGAGGGAAATGAGTATTACCAATTGAGCAGCCAAACAAGTATACAAGCCGAGCGATGAACGGTTTGCCAGTAGTTTTGACAATGACGCAATCAAACCTCGGTGATTCATAAAATTTTGGGCTGCACCGAAGTAAGTCTTGGTGCATGCGCCAATCAACCATGGACTCATAATTCACCCACAGGAAGCGGAACTCTGTAATCTACAAGAAAAATCATTGAGGATGGTCAATTGCAACATAGAGTAAGATAGCGCACCTCATCCTCGGCTCCGGGACAAAGGGCCCTTCCATCTGGTAAGGGAATGTCATTCTGCGGTAAGAACACATTCAAAAAGCCATTTAGCTTTGTCTGAAAGTCGTTGAAGGCCCGGTCAGTTTCATGTGCGCATGCAATGTCTGAAAAAGAGTGTTGGCCTTGCTTCGAACCTAAGTGTGCATGGATGACAGGGTCTGCTGCTAATTCGATATCCAGAGGTTCATTTGTCTCTGGGTCATTGGTAGCCTTTCGAACATAGTCGTCAAGCTCATCGAGCTCGGTACGCATACATGCCAATGTTAAAAGCCAATGATCATAGTTCAAGATCTGTAACTTGTAAGTAAAATATTAGTCTTGTACACTGCAATATGATGAACCTGAGGAGCAATGTCCTTAAAGTTTGTCCATTGAAGGTAAATTTTCCGTAAAGCGCCATGCATCTTCTCATTCAGCTTGGTGTTGTAGTTGTGTGTCGCACCTTTGGCCAAAATATCGTTGAATATGTGGGTGATCATGTGCTTTTTCGGAAAGTTCCAATTTTTATTCATTTCAGGCTGTGACTGAGTAATATATTCCTATTAACATCAGATGAGTCAAACAATTACTGAAAATGATTAATGACATCTGAAAAACTTATATCCATCAATTCTGAGAACTTAACCAAGGTCGCCCTTCCAGCCACAATAGTCTCCTTGGTGTGAACTTTGAATGAAGCATAGATGTTGAGCTCGAGATAATAGTGGATGCAGCGTAGAAGGAGGTATCCTATCTTAGACTTTGATTTGAGTAGGACATCCTGCACTGTAAAGAGAACAAGCTTTTATTTAAAGTCTGTGTCAGTACAAAAAATCATATTCAAAGTTGGCACTCGTACCTTTGAAATATCCTCGTGAAATGAACCATCGTTGAAATTGACCAACATCACAGCCTTAAAGTGTGTCAAGTTGGGCCATCGTGGAATAGCATCAAAGCTAAGGCAGTAAGTCAGCACCACAATGAGCTCACATAACATTTAATTTACATACTTTGCATCGAGTTTGGTAGCAGCTTCCTGTCCAAGATCAGAGATCCAGAATAGAAGCTCCTTCCATAGATGATCCTCCCATAATCACTCATGATTCATATGCAGGCAATCAATAGAAAGCGCGTGATGAACATCAGTAAGAAAAAATTTCGAAAATACATTCTTTTAATTCGACGAAATCAACAAGTCTGTCAACAGTGGCACAAAAACACGTACCTCAACATTTTGGAGTGAGCATGCCTTTAGATCCTCTGCCTTCTCTTTTCCATACATTTTGCTCTTGCGGTGCAAAGGACCTGTTGGGAATCGGCACTCATGCGCAATACAAAGACGTGATTGTCTGACTGTTTGTCTCAAGGAACTAGACAGACTGGGCATGGAAACTTGCCCTTCAGACCATGAATTAATGCCATTACACACCTATAGTAGATAAGCCTGATAGTAGAGCAGTAAACTAATGGTAACACATACTTTTCTTCATAATCTCCGCTTAAAATCAATATCAGAGGCCAGAGACGGTGCTGAGTCTGATCCCCGCATTCAAACCAGTAGCCATTTTTTGAGTGCAGCTCGATTGACTTGAGAAGCTGGTAGAAGGATTTGTGCCACACTGCGTTTTTGAAGTCTATAATGCTCTTCTTTCTTGTATGTTTTTGATTCTTAGCAACCTAAAAATGTAGTAAGTAATAGTAGAGACACATCATAAGATACTAACAATCGGCAACCAACCAACAATGCGACCTCCTCCTAGGGTCATATTTCCGTTGTGAATATGAACAGGCAGGTTTGCAATGCATGCAACAATCAGATATCCTTTTGCAGTCCCAAAAGTAGACAGTTTATTTTTGTCAGCATACAGAATGAATGTGAGCGGCTTTGCATCTGGCGGAAGTTGAGACTACAACAGTAGTAATGTTGACAGTTTTTAAGTACAATACAGGAATCAGAACCTGCGAAACATACTTGTGCATTCCAGAAGGCATCAGCAGTCCATGGTTCATCAATGAAGCGGACGAACTGTTCTCCATTAAATTTGGAAAGTCATTGAGCATCAAACATAAAGTGAGGTGCGAGACGGCTGTCTCGCAATAAATCAAGCACCCAGTCCCAGAGAGGGCGGTAGTGCATGTCAAACTCATGTGTCTCATTGTCGTACTCAACAGATACTACATCCTTTTGAAACTAGTGCACACTACATATTAATGAGGTTTGATAAATGCACAAAAAGGAAAACAATCACCGGTGTATACCGCTGCAAAGCTATTTCCCACAGTGAGCGAACCTCATTGTGACTTTGCAATGTAAATTTGTCTGCGCCACTGGCAGATCGATGCACAAGATCAAGTAATCAGTTCGTCTGTGCCTTGGTCATTGCAGCTTTGAGTGCAATCTCTGCAACTTCGAAGTCCAGTCACGTCTGGAAGGGTTCCCATGGTGCGTCGTTACAAGGTACCTGACCCTCTGAAGAGCAGCTGTGAGAAAAATCTGCAAAGTGATGTACAACGGAAGGAAGTTTGCTATGTGGATGGTATTCAACTTTGATATCATCAAGCTTGTAAGCCTGAGGGAGCTCGTTGGGATGATTGAGATCAAGAGTGTCAGGGTCAGGTAAGACAACAGCATCGAAGTCGATCGATAGGCGTCTACATGGCGACAACCCTTGCATGTCTTATATAGATAAAATTTAGTGGGTCTTGCAAAGTTGAACAGCAAGGCAAACATACCAATGTCATTCTCTATGTCCTCCTTTTCTGATATGTCACCTTCGTCTTGTGCTGCCCATATCATGAGAAGGTTTACTATATAGTTATACCAGAATGGTCAGATACATGATAAAATCACTGATAGCATGTGTGCTCACCCATGGATCCAGACTGTGTGCCTTTCAAGACCTCATTGTTGTTTGCAAAGTCTTTGACACTCCTTTTGATGTGCTGTACCATTCAAATTATAACTGTTAGTACATTAAAACATCATGATTCAATAGCTTACCTGTTTGCTCAGCAGTCCGAACTATCTTGGCAAGTTCTTCATCCTCACGTTGTTCCCATTCTCTCTTTTCACACTTCTTTAAGTGCGATGCTAACCCACAGGCTCGAATTGCTGTACCCAAAAGACTGCACTCAGTGGTCTTTGATGTTCACTGCCACTTTGCGGGCAGTGTCTCGGGCATTGGGGTGTATCTTGGGCAATGGAATCAGAGAAAGGTCACGGTGAGCGCAGCACATATGCCCGAATATGTAATAATGACTTAGAGCTTATCGTAACAATATTGAAACTCAGTTTCGATCTAGTAATCACGACGTAATCTGATCATAATGGTGGTCATAATGATTCCAAGGCACATTATAATGCCAGAAAAAAATCTCTGACATATGATGTGCTGATTCTTATTATGATTGATGGTCAGACAGCATGTTACATGAATGATGTATGGCCAGATCTGTGTCATATTCAGGAATACTTGTCAGGCTTCACCTTGAGAAGGAACAATTAATCATTTGGCCATCGTTGATATGGATCTTGATGTGTCTCTTCTTTCAACTTGCTGTTCTTAGTGTTCAGAATTCTATCTGTCTTGATGTATGTGTAGACTTTAGTCATCCATACACTGCCATATGCCATGGTTGCAGATTAATATGTGCTATCAACTTGCCCTACTACTATGCATGCCAATTTGTGCCCTCTGCATAGATGTGCAGGGTACCTGGGCTGACTTGACATGCAATGTGAATGTGAGTGTGCAGGGAGAAATGCTAGATTTGAAGATGACCGTCAATTCTATCATTGCCCAATTGTCTATGCTAGCCAATGAAGTCACTCATGTATATTTGGAAGTCAGTATGGAAGGTACCTCTCACCGCCCCGTATCCCTTCACACATTGCGAACAGGCATGAATACACACAAAAACCACTCGATGTGCTTTTACGCCCATCTTCAACGGGGGCGGCAACGTATCGACACACAAGTCAAGGTGTTTGTATACTCACTCATATTCACACTAACTTCTGATCAGCATCCCTAGACTACAAACTTGTCCAAGAACACCATCCTGATTCTGCCCATGTGCAACATATTCCTGCTTCAGAATGACACTCCCACTTTCAATCCATAACTGCTGCATATGAAGTTCTGAGTCACAGGAGTGCAGTCTAAAACCTTGCCCAAGCTCGCAGTTTTTACAGCTTTAAACAGTTCTCAGTTTGATAGGTTTTGTATGAATGAAGCTTTCTGTAGTATTACCCATAATAGCATGGTTGACTATTAGCTATTTGTGCCCTCTTCCTGGTTTCCTTCAGAATCAGAATCAGTGAACTCTGCATACTCAGGTCCATCCTCATTATCATGTTTCTCCCCTTGTGGTTCCCAGTCACAAACTCCATGAAGAGCATGAGTCGGTGGGTTGAACATGCCTCCCATGTAGAGGTATCCTGCATGTCCCAACAAGCCAGCATTATGAGGTAGATCTTGTAGGTCCGTAATCAGTGAAACCTGACCATCTTCAAGGTGGAATGGCTGTGAAAGCTCCACTGTCAAATTATGATCACTCTCAAGAGCCTCAAACTGTTGTTGCATAAGCTGGTATACATCCCAGAACAATTCAGATGAGACAGGAGGCTTGCCAAGTGCAGCATAGAAATTCTGTGCTTGCCTCTTGAACATCGGTGGCACAAGCTCAAATACAGGATGATTGGGAGGTGCATAAATTCCTTCTACCTCGTCAAGGAGATCACCAGGTATGGGAACCTTGAAAATGATGTGCACTCATTGAGTACATAGTTATTCAGTTAGTTGGTGACTTGAAGATAAATATGTACCCAAAACTAACAGCAGGGCTTATGTTGATTTGCTCGTTGAAGACTGGCATCAGCCATGAGTAGAGTAGAGAGTATTAGTAGGTCACACCAAGCCAGGCTTGGACTAAAACAATTGTTCACCTTCGCAACATCGTAAGGCACAAGACATTCAGCCATCACTTTGACAAATTTGTAAGGCACGAAAAAAAATCTACTACATACACTGCTGTCGGTCAAGTAATGAATGTCGCACTCAGGTGTGGTTGGGGGTCTGGCAGGGGAAAAGCCAAACAAATGCCTTTTTTATGAAAGCTGATCGTTGTTGTTCGAGCTAATCACTCTTGCTTTCCATACTGAAATGTCTGATTTTGGCAAATAGCTGATCGTGAGTGTCTGAGTCACCTTTGATTTTCAGCAATGCCGAATACACTGCTGATATAACAGCGATGATGCTTCGGAGGTGTATGTGGGCGATAATGAAAACTATGGCCGAATCTCCTCCACAACGGATATAACTTGGTCCGGCTCCAGCCAGTCAACGTTGACGTCATTGTGAAGGGAAGGAAGTGCGATAAGAGTATATATATGTTTATCCGTTTTGCTCGTCTGCGTCTTTTGTGAGCAACTTCATGACGACTGCCTTGAAGTACCGTTTTAGCTGCGCCTTAAACCAGCTAATGTTGTCAATTCCCATTTCACCATAGCAAGAACACAAAAAACTCACGGAGGCACATGCTGCACGACACCCTGCAGAAGTTCACAGCCTAGCCATCGTTGGTTTTGGAGTGGGCTCCGCATTCTACTTCCTCCACCGCTTCAACAATCTCAAGTTATTGAGGGGGCATTCTAAACAATAGTAACAGAACGGTGCTCACCTGTACCACGGCGGATGATGCATCAGCAATCAGGTATCCTCCTCCAGGAGGACGATCAAGAATATTGGGTCTAGAATCACCAAACAACACTGCATGCATCACCCGTCGAAGCACCTCATCTCCGTCTGGCGCAGCACAGGCTCAGTCCGCAGGTCTAGGGAGCCCATTTTGGCCCACTCAGGGACTATCACATTCCGCCTTTCAAACTCCTCATCGCCACTTATGGCAGAGGTGCGTTGCGTTGCGGAAACCCGCTTAACCGATGTAGAAGGCTGACCTTTGCCAGACCAGTGGCAGGAGGGTCGCTGGAATTTGCTGGATATGAGGTCGCTGGCTTTGTCGTTGGGCATAGAGTTGTCAGGAATGGGTCCCGGCTTTGAAGGATCAGTCCAGTGTTCGACCTGATGGTACGGACCCTTGAAATTCACGCCCACGATCCAAATCAGGAAAATATATGACTCTAGGTCGTGCGAATTGCACCATCAGTTTACCTGTCGTACAACCAAGGGCACACAGCAGTCGACCAATGACCCATGATGCGGCCTTGCAGCTCCGCATCTTGAAACTGTTGTATGTCATTAGTGAATAGTTCGTGAAATAGTAGGCACATACTTGATTACACCACACGTCCGCCACATTCCTAGCATTGTCTTCACGGACCCCTCGTAGTATAAGCTCATCTCGTACCCTGCGCCTGGCTTCCGCTATGTCATCCTGGAGGTCCGCCGGTCTTAAGCGAGATGGTGAGCCATCCTCTAGTCGCGCTTTCAACCATCGTGTTCCATTTTCATGCATAAGGGATGCTATCGCTTGCAATTCGTCGTCATTTACCTTTTGATTAGCAGCAGAAACCGCCTCTTTGAGCAACGAGAACGGATCCCGATAGTGGCCTTCCTGGACAACGAGGAGCTTCGTTTTGTTGATGATATCGTCTGTGATGAAATCAGGCTTGGCATGTGCAGCGTGCAAAAAGTAGCAATTTATCCAGGTTACCCTACCACCATGTCATCGTGAAGGTCCGCCGGTTTTAAACGAGATGGTGAATCATCCTCTAGTCGCGCTTTCAACCATCGTGTTCCGTTTTCGTGCATAAGGGATGCTATCGCCTCCAAGTACAAAGTTTGATGGACATTGTTGATCTGGCAGAGAAGACTGCGGGTCATAATGTGTGTCTGAGTATGTCACTCATATTAGTGTACTGTATGGCATCCCTAGTGTGCGCCTCACCTAGGTTCTCTGCAGTGTCGCCGTTTAGACAAAGTCCCATTTGCCTTCAGCTTCAGGCTACCTACACATCCCCTTTGGAAGATAGGTCCGGATGTCAACTAGATATGACCTGTAAAGCTTTCGAACAGTGATGAGGCCAAGCTCAAGTTGTCTTTCCACTCCCTTCAAGGATCGTGCGTCTTTCTTGATTCTAAGCTTAAACAACACACGAAGAGCGGAGGCCCGACCTAGCAATAAACTTCTGCCGCTCAAGGTCTGTGAGGTCTTGACTATGCACATGGGAGAGGACCATCGACTGAGTTGGTCTCGTTAATCGGATGGACTTACAAAACCATCGATGGATTGTGATCGATTAGGATCAGTTACTACGTAGTATGGTAGTACCAGGTGATTGAAAGTCCGCAGATTGTTTGTTCATGTTTGTTGTGATATGCCAATGTCAATTCCCCATTACTGCCGACACGCATCACTACTACTTTGGGCGAAATTACGGCAAGTACGATTCTCCGCGCCTCATTCGCTGCACCAACAATAGACTAGATGACTCGGGTAATACAATCGACCTCAATCGGACCAGTTCCCACGAAGGGGAGAAGAGTTCTGGTAGGTTTTCGTAATCAGCGGTATTGAAGCGCAAGTAGTCACCTAATCAATATTTAGAATCAAGTTGAAGCATGGTTAGATTCGGTAAGCGCGTTACGCGTGTCGCTGCCGGGGACTTACCGCTATCCAGCGACCCACACAACCGGTCGTAGCGCCGGTGCCTAGGCGAAGGCTGCCTAGGCCTGTTCCGCCAACCCGCCGTCTCGTGGCGATGATCAAACATACCGTCCGCCGCGCCGTTAACAAAATGAAATCAATCCTTCGCGTAAGTGCTCTGTTTTTATTCGAACGTTACTTTGACAAGCTTCTAGGTATGAGTCGGCACACTCCATCACTGTACATTACACACTGACGCGTGCCCGGTGCCGTCAACTTCCATTCAAGTTGTACACTATAATCACAACCACAGTAGAGCATTCTCCCCATTCAATGTATACATCGTTTTACTCTACATACTACGCACGATACCCAGTGGTAGTTGACCTCAGTACTATATCAAAATACCCGATGATCGATCGCGCCTCAGGCCTCAGGGGTGTACCTATCTTAGGATCTTGTGAATTTTAAATTAAACGATAATCAAATAACGGCGCGATATAAGTTATGTAATCACCTCACTTCCCTTTAGCCACCGTCACCGTTCACCTGCACCAACCAATGGACATGCGTCTGCAGACTTATTCACTCCCATCACCATAGGTCCCGAAAGGTTAAATGCAATAGACTCCCTGGCGAAGACAAGGTGGGTAATATTCAAGCAACCCTGCTGACAATTATCTCATTTATTCTTCATTATTTCAGTGCCAGGTACAGGTGATTACGTTTTCCTTATATGCTTAACTGCAACGTTCTGAAGATAAACATCAGCACTGCTTGTCTAAGAACTATCCTTGCACGTTAGTGTCTTTCTATATTGAATTGTTAAGCCGCGAGCCGACCCGTTACCTAGCCATTTCGTCCAACAAGCAACCAGCGAAAGAAGCGTAGCGCGCCCGGAGGCCGAGAATACATTGACAAGCTCAAGGTTAGCTTTGGGCACTCCTATCTCGTCTCGTATCTCTGATGTTCGATTGTCGATCTGTCTATCTCTTCGTCGCTGCCGTTGCCTTGCCTGCTCGCCACTCAGTACCTCTCCCAAGTGTATGAATACCCTTTCACACCACTTTTTTCTGTCAAGAATTTCTCCTACGCGTAGCGCCCGTGCAGCATCTCTGACACCATCCACACAAACTCCCTCAGAGGTCACTCGTATTCAGAAGCCGGTACAACCTATGGCTTCTCCGCAACCTGATCCAGAACGTGATCTCGAGATCGATACAGCTGCTGCAGAGGCAGCCGCTCGAGCCGCTCGCCGCGCCAGGCGTCAAGCCCTTTTAGCCAAGGACTCCGGGTTAGCTAGTGCCAATAAGAGCGTCAGCCCCAGCCCTGGGCCTAGTAGTGCGGTTCAACCGCAACCTGTTGCATCTGTGTCTGATACACTTCAGCCCCACAGTGCTGTTGATACTTCCGCAAGTTCAGCAGCCGACACCTCTAAAGTGAGGCATGATTCAATGAGTGAGGTTCTCTCCAAAAAATATCTCGCGTGGATTAATATATTGTATCATGCAGGCAAACGAGATTCACCATCTCCACAACCAGACGATAGTATCTTTGAACTTGCTAAGGACGAGGACGATGAAGATGTTCGTGCGAAGATGCAAGATGGTGCACCAGATCAGATATCTGCTGCCGACTATGACCCCAGCCTAGATCGCCGAGAGGACGAACAAAGGCGAGTACTCAAAGACGAACCCATGGATGTAGAAACTATCGAGGAAGAGGAGGAAGATGAAGAAGAGGACGATGTCGATGACATGTTCACAGCAGCTATAACCGAGAAGAAGCGAAAGAAAGTCAAGAAAGTTGTTGTATGTTCTCACTATTTTGTCCGTCAACGATGTCTGACTTTGTATGCAGAAGAAAGCAGCACCCACCCTTATCACAACGACGTTAGACTCCGCCTCAGACCATGAGAGTCATTACCAAGTTATCCTTGGTGAGCAACTTGATGGTGGTCGGTACCAGGTCTTCTCTTCTCTTGGAAAGGGAATATCTTCCAATGTTGTCCGGGCACGCGTTCTTCAAGATGCAGAAACCGGTAAAGAGGTGGCTATCAAAATCATCAGGAGTCAGGAATCTATGTTCGTACATTTTCGCTATATGATACTTCTGAGTATGCTAAAGCAACATCCAGGCATCGTGCTGATCTGAAGGAAGTGCAGATATTGAACAAGTTAAAACAGGCTGACCCAGAAGACTAGAAGGTATGTCTTACCAGGCAGTACTACGAAGTGTTGTAGGATGTGAAAGCAAATTGGTGTGACAGATATATCTATCTCAGCCAACCTGTAGTTAACTCTGGTCCCAAGTGTGTTCAGGTTCGCTTTGGCAAAGTTCGAGACTCGACGAAAGGGGTTTCACCCTCCTACCTTCTCCGAGTCACGCGCCACAGACGATAGCGAATTTCATTTTGTATCCAAGCATGATTTCCCATGCGTCTGGCGCAGTAGCTCCCTGCAACGGTTCCGACGAGCATCATTCGTCCCCTACCCCTACCCGGCGGAAGTCAGACGCAGGGAACAGGACTCATCGTCGCGGGGATCTCGTAAACGCTCCAATAGTAGTGATAACACGGAAATACTTCTCTCCCGCCATCCCAATCATGGGAAGTATTCGCTAATTATATCCCTGGTCTCAGGGTCACAGCATCGTGTCCTTATGTATTTGAGTAATTAAATAGCGACGTGTTACATACTCCATCGTGTGAACGACATTTGGAAAGTCTAACACGAACACGATGGTACGTCTATTTATTCTTTTTAAAACTACATACTCAGGTCATCTTGCCAGACTCCAAGTCGGGGGATCGACCAACAAACGGAGCTGCTCAGGCGCAGTGTTCCCATCTGGCCAACGCAACTTCGGCGGTACACCGAACTGCTGTTACCGTGAGTTGTTAACATCGAACTAGTGCGAACATCATCACTGACCTGATTCATATAGGATACCTCCACATCACGATTATAACGTGCTGGCGATGCAAATTGATCCTGCCAGGTTTGTCGCCATAGTTCTTAACAGTATCTATCTAACGGTAGCATCAACAGGCGCGGAGAGAAAGGGGAGTGGAAAGAGTGTATTCACCCGTCGGGAGCAACATACTACTACAACGAGAAAACGGTGAGCGTTGTCTGAAATTCTGATGTGTTACATGCTCACTTGATCTAGCGAACATACACCGAGATGAATATAGACACCTGTTCAGAGGAACAGCTTCGAAGGCTCGAGTCCTGGATCGACGCATCAAGATCAAAGATCGATGGAAAACAATGGCTATTAGTCGTTGATCCGATATTAGCGAGAGGGGAGGAGGTCTACCCATATTATTATGTGGCCCCGGAGAGCAAAATTATCACCTGGGTTGAACCGATGGACGGTTACATTCTATTCCAAGAATGCACAGCAGCATGGCACTGGAACCACAAAAGTACGTCCTTGTCTTTTCCTGCTTTCGTTTTTGAACTTCATTCCGCAGGACTCGAACTTGAAGCTCAATACTGGTGAGTAATCGGAACGAACTAACTGAAACGCTTCTCACTGCGAACTAGGAAACACGTTGAATATTTTCCACGCGGGATGGAAATGCGTGTCTCAGAAGTAAGAAACTTGCGGGTGAAGTTGAACTGGTATCGTGTAGGCGAGTTCTTTGGCTTTGCGGCGCCCACCAGAATAACCTAAGCAACTAACAGAAACACTGACTATGGAACAATCTACTGCTGCTACCATATTCTGGACTTTGGATCAAATGAAAGAGATGGCTGCAGAGCTGGCCATTGCCGGTACGCACCCTTATCTCGACATGCGCGTTTAGATTGATGGCCAAAGGACAGAGACACTCGCAGAACCTAATGGGATGGTGGGGGAGCCATGTGTTGCAATCTGCGGTACGTGGACCTTCGAAAAATGGATGATTGAAAACTGATATCTCGTCACTTACAGGCAAGTTATTGCATATTCTTCGTGCGTTATCATTTTCTCATACTAGACATCGTAAATTGAGGAGTCACAACAGGTCATCACGAATACCTCAACCACTATGGTCGACCCGAGGCTCGCTTAATCCGATCTCACTCAGTGAGTAAGAGACGCAGAGATCTGGAGGATTCTCCCCTTATGACTGGCATTGCGGTCACTATGCTTTACATTCCGATAATGGTGCTCAAACGCCTTAGGAGCATCTATGTTGATGGTCTCGTAAATGGGGTGGACATGAGGGGATTTACTGACGATTTCAGCGTGCAGGCTAAATCTCAGACTACTGTGGTAAGTCCCGCATTATGGCCCAGATGTGAATGCTTACTTCTTCTGACAGGCGAGCGTCATCATGGCAGTAGATGCCAGCATCCTTGCTATCCCAGGCTTAGGCTCACAACTCACAACAAAGACGATGTGCTCGATTTCCTTTATTCTGAGCGTGTATTGCATTATCGGATGTACCATGGCACAACACTTTGGCCAACGATTGAGATCCCTCGACTTCGCGGTTCGATTGTATTCTCTTTCGTGAACCCGAGTCTGACATTATTAATCCGTTAGGCGTATTACCTGCAAGGAAAGCTGTCAATTCTTGTGATCCTCACAAGTATACCCAGCTTTTTATATCTGATGAGGTAACGTTGCCTCAATCGCTATCGCCACTAGTGCTCACAGATATCACAGTTTAACATTCGCTACGCTTGGTTTTCTTGCAGGTATCTTTACAGCTGACTTTGGACTTCCCTTGTTTGCAAGGCTCGGATGCGGGCTGACCTTCGTAGTGGGAGCGGGCCTAGTTATTCCATTAATGATCGCCAGCCTCGGTCCTGGGCTGATCCGACAATGATCCCGTCTACTATGATGCTCTCTATTATCCTGATATCACTCCTGTCATTTTGAAAATTCTAAATCTTTTTGCACCTGGCTCTTGCACTCTCTTCAAAATCATCATCATTCGTGCCTATCCTGTTCGTTACTATTTTCCTGGCTGCGTCACTTTTGATGGAGTGTCTATTGTCATTGATCAGTGTAATGCGTCAATCGCCATGTCTCCTTCTGATTTTGAGAGTTCCAGTTATCGACACTGTCTCATCTTTCGCAAGATGGCATCCACTTGTACCCGCAGTGTGGCTTCTTCCATTGCATTGCGGCTAGAACAGTATCCGTCGTGGCTCTACTATACTGACGACTTGATAGTACGCATCCTATCTGCCCTCTCTGTCCCTGTTCTTGCAAAGTGTAGCTTAGTGCTTGGGTCTAAGGTCAAGCGTGCGTCTAAAGCCGATCATGTCCAACAGATCCTACAAACTTTTCGAAGTGCATGTTCCGATTTCGGTGCTCTGTCACCTGCTTCTGCAGCTGAACGACTCGACATCACAGAGTGGACAACGACGCATGCTTTTTTCGCGTGGATGGGTGGATTCATGCTCTACTTCAATGACAAGCCGCGAGCCACTCTTACACCCGATAAGCTTTTGCACTTTGTTCATGAGGGCTCTGTGGAAATGCCCATCATCGTGGAGGCAGACATGGAAGATCGAAGCAAGGGTGACGCATTCATCAGTGAACTGATGAACAAATTAGAAAGACATATATAACAATATATATAGCACATATTCACAAGCATCAACATAATTCTGCTATCGATCGTTACATATGAATATTTGACCTTGTAGAGGAAGCGACAGTTCCTGATGTTCATATCCTAGTGTGCGGTCTGGAAAAGGCTTATGTATTGCTCAAACTCGTACTTGAAGGTAAGGCGAAGCAATAGCTAACGATAGGGCTAGATGAATCACTACCGCCATGTCAGAAGTAAAATTCACAATTTCGAAGGTGAAGAATGGAAGAAAGTATTGTTTAAAGAACAACTCTGCGCCCACCGAGTGAACAAGAATATATATATGTGCTGCCATGAGTTTTAACACCATTTGCTGAAAATTCTTGATATCCGAAAACTGTAGGCCAATTTCCTGAATCACGATGAAAGACAGCACTGTTCAAAGAATGACAATGTGGAGCAACAGTCAACAAACAGGCTAGAGTAATCACCATGGCCACGTCAGAAGTAAGATTCACAATTTCAAAATTAAGAATATAAGATAGCATCAGTTAAAGAACAACTATGTGCCCACCAAGTAACAAGAATAAACATATCTACTGCTGTGAGTTTTGACGCTATCCGTTTGATGTTCTTGACATTTGTCAACTATATATCAGTTGGGAATCCGTGTGAAAAAGTCTTACCTATCCACAACAGCCGAGGATGTGTTTACCAGGTGGGCGAGAGATTATTTGTCTAATACTTCAAGTTACACACAACCTTATATGTTTATCTAATGACTGGCAGCTGTATCTCGCTTTGGATACTGCAAACATAATGCATAGCTGTTTTTCAATGGCGCTGATCGGCCGAGCTGTAACTTGATTGATGCTGTTAGCGCGACGTCGGGACAATACAAAAACCACCATTGTCGCCCTGCATTACCTGGCCTGAACTTATTAACAACCCAGAGGTAGATCACCATCATCACTCCAAATTTTCTTACCTGCACTTACTAACAATCCAGAGGTCGTATGGAACATGTCGACCTCGGCGAAACAGAATGTGAGATTTGGTTGCAGTGTTCCAATACCTCTTCACAATACCGAAATCAATGATATAGGTAGTTTGCCTTGAATTGTCCACAAGAATGTTCTGCGGTTTGATATTGCGATGAACATAGTCATGTGAATGAATGTACTCAAGACGTGACAGCTGAAAAATATATTAGTATCTGCAGTGGTCCACAACAAATTTGAACCAAAGTACCAGCTGTTCTCCCAAGTTCACAACAGTGTGAAGGCTAAATTTTTGGTTGCATGTGAGGAATAGATCATGCAGCAATGGCCCAAGGAGGTCGAGGGCCAAAGCATGATATTTTGACTCCCTGCCAAACCAAAGGGCACGGGGGATCCCAACTCCACCTTCGAGTTTCTTTAGAATGTGGTGTTCGTGCTCCATGGAAGATGGGTTATGGGTGACCGGTTTAAGTTTGATAGCAATGACATCATCATTGAGGAAGTTATGTGCATGGTACACGACAGCTAGTGATATATGTTGAGAACCTGGGTATAAACCAACATCATATGAACATACCATATGAACCTGATCCCAACACATCTTCCAGCCTAAATCTACCATCAATACAAATTGGAGCCTTATTCATGCTATGCGATAGGACTAAAAATTACAGTGACAGATACACCATGCACACCACACATGACACAGAAAGAATGTTGTCCAAATTTCACGTGACTGAAGTCGACCGAAGCCAGCTTAAACCAGCTTGAGTCGATATTTCTGGATAAATGGCTTGTAGCAGCTAGCAAGTCAAACCAAGCTGGACAACATGGTTCGACTTACAAACTACAGGTGTAGCCGGTAAAAGCCGAGTCGGAGCCAAGTTGAGCCAAGCTGTGACACTAGTAACTGACATGGACATTGTCTTGATCTTCATAAGTCTAGCATTCTTATCTTCAGCGTATCAAGACTGATGTCTGATCAGTCTGGTCTTTTCTCAGCTGTCAGCATGGGTTTCATTGTCATGATGGAGTCCAATCTCAATCACGACCCCAGCAACATGATGAATTCTCTTTTGAAGCAACTCGTGCAGATTGGACTAGGCCTAAATATATTGCAGAATATGGGAGGAGTAAAACATGAGACAATACTTGATGAAGTATTTCGTTTTGCCACAGGATGAGTCTCCTCTCACCCATAAAACTGCTATCAGTTCATCTTATGTTGCTAGTGCAATTCAAAAATCACCCAACAATCAGCATGTGTTTATTAATATTTGGCAGTCATAACCTAATCCTATCATTTCCTTTTAGGAAGGCTGATGTAAGCCAGTTTGAAACCCTTCTTCCTCCTTCCACTGTGCAGCTGAAGATTCAAGGTATGTTTGTGTTCTTGTTTCTAGTTCAATCAGCTGGTTTGGGAAGCCTCCAAGAGGTGCACTAGACTGGTAGGCTACTGCAGTGAAGACAGGCTTTCAGGAGGTGTCATCAGAGCATCACACAGTAGCTTTAATACTTTATTGTTTATTTTCCTGAGTCTGAACCTTTAGATCTGTACTTACACCCCATATACAATGCAGTTTGTGCCTGTCGAGACGGTGATCAAGGGATGCTCTCCAGGGCTGGATCTTGGCGATGCAATCAGTGGAGCCTAACGTGGACCATCGTTGTATTGGTTTTGATGTGTCTGCTTGGGGTGTACTACCTTCTCTAACAAGCCTCCGCAGTCTTTGTGTCAACTTATTCTAGAAATCTTTCTCCTTTGCTAGCAGGATGACTTATTCTGCGCAGTGTTCATGCGCTCACTATGGAGATTATGGGACCGCCTGCAGAGGGCCTTCTCCTATTCATAAATGTGAGTTGGCATATCCTATTATGCATGCAGTTTTCGTGGGTTAACTTTCATATGCGCTGTTTTTCCATACTAATAATAGCTTGAATGTATAATTTTCAGTTTATAATCCTTGTCATTCTCGCCACACGCATGCACCTCCATCTCTGGCAGGCAAACTGACATGGATGTGGCTCTGTCATCTTCATGCATATTCCAGTGTCCGACAGTCATTTGTCACTTCTACAGTATGATGTCTTTTTCTGTAGCTTATTCAGTGTCGTTCATTGAGTGAGACTTACACTGTACAAGATGGCTGGTGGTGGTAGGTTTGGTAGAGTTCATTATGTGCTTAAGTCACCCTAGTATGAAGAGATAGTCATTAGAAAGTATTCAATTCACTTTGAGAAATTGTTATCTGCTTGCCCAGGTAGTACAAGAGTGGCATGTCTGTGATAGACCACATTCCACACTTACGAAAATTACCATCTGTCAGCTATTTGAATATGAAGACTGGCAGCAGAAGATGTGCGCACAATCTATGGAAGCCCAAATAGCTTGTGACGCAATGGCTCTGTCGCATCTACTGTGTCATCATCCGTCTGGGCCATTCAGATGGGGTGTATGGTGCTGGATCAGTTCAAATATTATACACACACGAAACTCTCACACACAAACACTGAACACACATACACATGCTGAACACAAACAAAGGTCTTGTATTGTCAGTAATCTTTAAGTCTACTATGTTGTTCTAGCTAAGGCGTCTTGAATCATTAGGCCACTGCAGCCCTGGCGGATATCTCTAGGGATCCACATGGGTATACCCCAGGGTGTTGGGAACCTGACCTGCACCTGCACCTCAAGGTATACCCGCACCCACACGAAGGGTGCGGGTTTTTGGGGGGTATGGCTAGCTCATACCCTCACCCGCACCCGTGCAGGGTTTACCTGCGGGTAGTACATATAAATATTAAGTTAGAAATATGGAAAAAAATGATTGTAAAAAAGGACTCACTAAGACATCACGAACGGTGGGCAACAACTTCGATCAGCATGGCTCGAGCTCGACAGAGGATGGACATGCTGCGAATGGCAGACAACAACTTTGATCAGCATGGCTCGAGCTCAAATGAGGATTGGCACACTCACATACTGCATCAGCAAACTACTTGTTTTGGATACAGGATTCTCACAGCATTACAACCAGCACAGAGCCACACAGTGTGCACAGTGTTACAGTGTACAGACTCACAGAGTCACACAGACCTACAGAGACTCACAGGAACTTGCAGAGCACCATTGACTTATTTTATTTTTAAATCACAAGTATCAAGTATTACTCAAATTACAGTAGTTTAATAGCGTGAAGCGCGAAGTCTTATCACACCGAATGTAAGTCCAAATCACAACAAAGATACAATTTGCAATATAGGCTTGGAATATGATTGTATAGATGCTATTACAAAATAAATCTACAAAAATAAATCTTTCAATCAGAGTGCTTGAAAAAATTAGATATTAGCGCTACATACACCTCATAAACAAATGAACAACATACTACCACGACCAGAAATCAAAACAGATTTTGAATGCCAAAGTGTTCGCTCTGAGCATGTAAAGCCGCTCCTTGTCATGAGAGTGCGTGTGCGTCCTACATGCATTTCTGCATCAGCAAATTTTTTCGTGATTTTCGCTCATAGTCACCAGTAATGCGTGCGTATATTCAGCTGGTGAAGAAGGCGCTCGGCAAGGTCTTGTTCAACACATCGAACCTCCAGATCTGCTCTTGCCATCTCGAGTTAGTACATGGCTTCCTCGGCGCTCTCTGGTGAGGTGGTTTCTGTTGAAAGGTTCTGCTGAAAGTCTGCATCAGTGCCTCGTAACCTCAATAGACAACTCACCCTATCAAGTGCAAGAACTGAATCAGAAGTATCTGAGTCGTCTGATTCAAATTTAGAGTCTATGAGCCAGATTAAATATTATTTTAGTCAGGAAAGAGAACATACTGTAAAGAGAATGACATCTCAGGCGTGTCACAGTGGGACTAGAAGGTGCAGAACCGTGCTGCAAAAGTCGGTCCAGGTACATCGTGGTGTTAGTTCAAGGTCACCCCGGAAATTTCTGTTAGTACCTACTACTGACTATACTACTGAAAGCCGACCGAACTCCTGGACATGTGCTGCCTGTCCTGTGGCAAGCGTTTCAAGAATGATAAAGGTGTGCTACAGCACTTGAATCAGCCCAGATTACGATGCTACAGTTGGAATGACAACCTTGTTCGAATCTTGTCCAGTCACGACTTTTGGTACTACCTCAAGATGAATTGGCCTTTAACGAAGACACAGTAATCTACAACGACATGGATGTGGGATGTGGATGTGGGCGTGGACGTGGACATGGGTGCAGACTTAGGCGTGTATGAGGATGAGCATGCTGGTGTAGAGGCAGGTTATGAGGAAGAAGTTTATGATGGTGCAGCGAAGACATACGGCATTGGAACATCATTTATGAAGACTTTTAACTCTGATGAGTATGCTGTGGAGAGGATGGATAATCCCTACTTCCCTTTTGCTAGCAAACCGGACTGGGAGATGGCGGCATTTCTTCTTCAGTCAGAGCTCAGCATGACGGATATCAACAAATATCTTCATCTTGAATTTGTAAGTCTATCTATATTCTACTGTAGCTATGTCTGAACTTATGTTTTTAGACCAGAAAATTACCTCTCTCATTTCGCTCTTCGAGAGAGCTTCGAGGACGTGCAGAAATGCTACTGTCTCCTCCTCGATGGAAGTACCAAACTGTCCTCACCAAATTCCGGACAACAAAGACCCTTCATGTCTTTTACCGGGATGCCATTGAGTGCTTACAGTTACTCCTTAGTCACCCCTTGTTAGTCGACAGCTTCGACTTCATTCTATGAAAAGTCTACGAGTCTGCTGAACGTGCGGTCCGTATTTACTATGGTTTCATGACTGGTGACCGTGCTTGGGAACTTCAGGTACATTTGCCTCTCAATCTACTGACTTAGTGTTGCTAATAAGAACACAGGAACGCCTCCCTGATGGTGCGACTCTGCTTGGTGTAGTCCTGTCCTCAGACAAGACTAAGGTCAGCAATCTCTCTGGCAATCGCTACACTCATCCACTGCTTATATCTCTTGCAAATATCAACTCTGAGATATGCGGCAAAGGATCCCTGGAAGCATATATCCCCCTCACTTTGCTCCCCATTGCAAAGTTCATCCACAGGAATCAATGCATGCGTGGCATTCTGGCGGACCGGCTGTTCCACCAATGTATTGGCATCGTTGTTGAGCCACTGGAGCAAGCTGCACATCTGGGTGTCATGATGAGCAACCCAGCAGGGTTTAGTAGATATTGCTGCATGCCCCTCATCGTGTATGTAGCCGATATGCCCGAGGAGCTTGCAATCATGGGCATTACTATGAATGCATCACCTGTCACTATGGCCACACATGTCAACTTCAGGGACTCGACTCAACACCCGCTTCATTAAGGATCATCTACACTTGCCAATATCAGAGCAGTTGCTAATTTTGTCTCGCCTTTTGAGCTCACAGCATTCTTTGAAGAGTGCAAGCAACATTTCCTGAATGGTGTCCTTACACCGTTCTGGTTGGATTGGCTTACTGCAGACCCTTCCTCATTCCTGATGCCCGAGCTTCTCCATCACCTGCACAAGATGTTCTGGGATCACGACCTCAGGTGGTGCATAAAAGTAATTGGTGCGAAGGAAATCAACTTTCGTTTTGCATTACTTCAAATGTGTATTGGGTACCGCGCTTTCAAGGAAGGCATCTCTGATCTGAAGCAAACCTTGGGACAAGACCATCACAATGTCCAGTGTTATATCATTGGTATTATTGCCAATGCTGCCCCTGCTGAATTCATAACCGCCATCCGGGCCCTTATTGAATTTAGATATCTTGCTCAAGCTCCATGGTTCACAGATGAAAAACTAATTGAATGGGATGGATCTCTTTGACTCTTCCATCGACACAAGCAGTCTATTATTGATGCCAGAGCCCGGCAAGGGAAGAATGGGGGCATTAAACCTTGGGCAATTCCGAAACTTGAATTGCTACAAGGGGTAGTACCGAGTATTCATTCACACAGTGCCATCATGCAGTGGTCTGCAGATCCAACCGAGCACGCACATATCACCATTGTGAAGCAGCCCGCAAGAGCTGGAAACAACCATGACCATGATACCCAAGTTTGTCACTACCTGGATCGTCACGATAAAGTAGATCGATTCGACCTTGCGATTAAAATTCATGAGCTGGAAGATCGCACCAATATTGGTGACAATGATGACAATGAAGATATTGACAGCAGGATGGTCCGATGTTCGGTCAAAGACTATTTTGCACGTGCACGCGAACTCCTTGATGGTATGCATCCTCAGGCACCCCATCCTTATCGCACATTCTCGACTTCTATCGCAGCTTACAGCCTTAGCTACTACCCCAGCCTCACGAAAATGACTGTCAAGACAACTGCCGAACACTTCTCACTTCCAGACCTTCATCCTGCAATTTCTGATCATTTGGACCGTGCTTCAAAACATGATGTCTTCCCTGTTGGCGGCACATCAGCAAACCAGCCGGTACCTGTACAATGTTGTACAAGACTGTACAAGCCTGTACAAGCCTTACAGTCACACAGGAAAGTCTACCCTTTACAGTCCTGTCACAAGGTCTCACAATATATACAAATGTTACAGTCTGTGCCTTTGTACAGACAATACACATGATACATGTTGTATAGGTGGCACATGTTGTATAGGTGGCACATGTTATATAAGTTTATGCAGTTGCTAGACATTGTACAGGCTTGTAAAGGATGCAAAAACCGTGCTGATTGTCACAAATTACAATGTGCTGAATGAGAGAGTATGCTAGATTATAAGATGATGTTGACATCCTCCATATCACTGCCTCCCGTACCGCCCTCGTCAAAATCAAGGTCACCCGCCCCAATCATAGCCCACTGCTCCAACATCTCCTCAAGCTCCGCACGACAGTCAGGATTTTCTAGAAGTGCATCTGTAGACCTCTGCAGCGAGTTGAAATCAGCCCTACATTTATCTGTGGAGAGGTCTGGGACTTTGTCAGTGCCGGTCTTGCGAACCCAGTGAGGACACCCTTCATCTGTCGATTTGTCAATGACTAGATAACACAAATAAAATAAAAAACAGGGTGCACCACGGCGCCCACAAGAAGCAGCCCATTGACAGGTATTGCACGTCGAAATTCAGATGTGTTCTTGAGGGCTTTCTTGCTATTACCGTAGTAGAATTCGAGGCAGCCATCCCTGAGAGCTTGCGAGACAAAATTCTTCCATTTGCCCTATAAAACTAATAGTGAGTGGCTGCCTTGGGAGGCGTAAACAGGTAACCATACATTAGATAAATCAGGAACACAAAGATAATCACCGGTCTTGAGTAACTTGGTGGCCTTCGCAATGACACATTTCTGTACCTCATCCTTGCGCGCCATGGTGCCCTTCGGGACAATATCGTATGATGCTTTCGCGACGGAGATAACAACTTTCTTCAGCTCTGTGCGAAACATAAATAGATCATCACAGAGCTGACAGTAAAGATATAAGTTTATAGTACATCCATTAATGAGACACTTACCAGCCACGACATTTGTGTCGTGTACTGCGGGAAATAGCCTAAGAAGCAAGATGAGATTCGCAAAGGGGGTCAGGCAATGTGAGGAACCTATTTACTGTTGTCCAATTTGATCTTTTTTTCGTGGTACATCCACAATTCAGCGTCAAGAACTTTTTGCGCAAGTTGTAGCGCCTCTCGATGATCTGGAATGGGATGCATTAGAACAGCCTGCAGATGCATTTCTAACTTCGCTGCCTGCAAAAATGCTTGCCAGGCAGGTGGGTAAAAGCCGAGCTTCGTGGGGTCCTTTTGAACTGTCTTGGCCTTGCGCTTATTTCTGTATGAATCTGGCTCATCACGTGTAGCACGACTGGAGGAAGTGCTTCGCCTAGATGGAGAATGCTGATGAGGAGACTGCATGCGGGGGGGACGCCGAGATACGCGTGTATGAAATGATGCCGAATGCTGATATGGAGATCTTGAGCGTGTAGAATGGCGAGAGTGCACGCGGGAGGAAGAAGGGCGCGTAGATGGGACATGCTGAGATGTATGTCTAGTACGAGGCGACACCGAACACTGATATGGAGACCTTGAGCATGTAGAATGGCTGAGAGTGCACGTGGGAGGAAGAAGGGTGCATAGACGGGACACGCTGAGATGTGTGTCTAGTATGAGGCGACACCGAACACCGATATGGAGACCTTGAGCATGTAGAATGGCGAGAGTGCACGTGGGAGGAAGAAGGGTGCATAGATGGGACACACTGAGATGTGTGTCTAGTACGAGGCGACACCAAACACCGATATGGAGACCTTGAGCATGTAGAATGGTGAGAGTGCACACGGGAGGAAGAAGGGCACATGGATGGGACACGCTGAGATGTGTGTCTACGAGGCGACACCAAATGCTGGTCTGGATACTTTGAGTGGTTAGAAGTAATGTGAGGTGAGCACTCACATTTAGGAGGTCGCACTAGAGCAGATGACCCAGTAGACACCACACATCGAGGTGACAGTCGACGAGGAGACTTCGACTGGCTAGAAGCACGTCTGCATTCAGTATGTTTTGCTTTCAATAGATAAGTTCAGGAAGGAGCCTTGCACCGTCCATTCTTCATTTGATGATGCTTGAGAACATCAAAAGCTTCCTGAAGAGCGTGTGATAAGATTAACCTCAAGACAAAAATTAAAACACTTTCCTCTGTTTCGTCTCTGGCTGCGTTGTTGAGCTCATTGTTGAAATCATCATCAATACCACTGTCCTGAGCATCAGGTTCGTCCCTCTGAGTGCCAGGCTCATCGTCAAAATCCCCATCAATACCTTGATTGAAATCCCTAAGCATCAGGCTAAACATTGAGATTCCATCATACCTTGATTCAGAAAATCATCCACAGTATCGGGCTCATGGTCGAAATCTTCCTGAGCTTCACCTTCGTACATGCCATCCAAATCGTCTTTGTGTTGTCTGAAGTCCATGGTATCGCCTGTTTCAAGTGTTTGCTCCTGGTCCTGAACTTCATCCCTGCATTGGGCACATGTGACAACAGACGGATGAGATAGTAGCAGAAGACGTACCTTTCCTCATTTTCCCCGTCAGTTTGGTCCTGGTCCTGGTCCTGGTCGTTGTCGTCACCGATACCATGCTCTGGAGCTTGATTTCTAGCCTCCTCCTCACAGGTACGCTCATTAGACCGTGGCGCCTTCCGGGTGTTCTGACTGCCAGTCGAAGTGGGCTGCCAAAACCCAAACCTACCTGAAGACTGAGCTGCGCTTGGGGCTGTTCGGAGAGATGCGTCAGAGTGTTGGTGTCCTGGGTTAGGTCGCTGGCGTCCAGGATGGACATTCTTGTTGATACCAATGGAACACTGAGTAAGATTGGAGCTCCCGGTCAGAGACCTTTTAGTAGTATCCTGAAAGACTGTTAGCTTTTGGGAGTTTATATTAGAACATCAACTATACACATTTTTCTTCAGTTTCCGGAGCTGGGAAGGAGCCATGGGGTTTTCTTCTGCATCACTAATGTCAAGATTGGTCTCCTTCCGACCTTTCCTCGCTGGGGCCACTAAGGTTTCCCCAGCTTTTCTCAACTGGTCTGCATGTCCACCTTAGCCTTGTGTAGATCTCTCACTTCGTCAAGTACCCTCGGAGACTTCGTATGAGCGCCTGGCCCTCTTCTTCGGAGGCATCGAGTGACAAGGCGGGAAGTGTCGAGATTCTAAAACCTGTCGCCACCAATTAGTACCCAGAGTCGTATCACATAAGCTGATCCTTGACGTACTAAACTAGCACAACAGAGTACATGTACAGGTACAGTATGACTCCGAACGTAATAATAATTAGAGGGTACAACAAGTTGCGTTTTGATAGTGGGAGTTGAAGGATATTAAGAAATACGAGAAGGATAAGAGACTTGAGAATTGTGAGAAGACAAGAGGCTCCAGAGTCCATAATACAGAGCACCAGCACTTGGAAAGAGGATTGTGGGATGACATGTACGGAAAAAAAAGTTCAGACACCTTCTCAATGCCTCCTCCAAGTCGTCCATTTTTTTTTTGTGGGGAACGAGATGACAGAGGCTCAGAAAGTGCTGTAGAGGGTATTGGAGGATCTGCTAGTGATCTGCTAAGACGAGCAGAACGACACGGTGAAGGCTCAGATGGCCCTGCTGGGGGTGTGTGAAGGGCATGGGATGCTGATGTGCGGGAGTGAAGACTCTGGGATGCTGCTGTGCTGGGATGAAGACTCTGGAGTTGTCCTAAAGGAGGTGGTTCTTCACCAATAGATCTCATGAATATATCGAGTAGGTGGAGGACTCCAGAGTGGGTCATCTCTACCTGATTTTGGGGCACGTTCGCACCGTAAACCATGGTGCCCCATTTCTGCACGAGAGGTCAGAATTCCACGAAGTATTCGGATGTCTTGGCGACCAAGAATCTGCCTTGCATCAAAACCCCCATTTTTGCGAAACAGATCGTACTCAGAGCCAAATGGGTATCTGCATTGCCCAAAGCTTCATAAGCGCTCGCCCACGGCAAAGTCTGCCGGGACCAGGTGGGTGCCAATTGGCCATGTGGCCCCCCATACTTAGCAACAAATTCGAAGAAAATATAGAATAAAGATTCGAGGTCATCGCTGGGCCGGTGTTCGATTAGATCCATATCGAAGTCGACATTCTGCAGAGCACTGGTAGCCTGCGGAACAAGGTCGACGTTGTTGTCCACCTTGAAATTGTCCACATTGTTTGGATCAGCATCCTGGCCTGGGATGTTGGCGTCAACCTCAAGTGGGGCTAGATCCAGCATAGCCTGAAGAATACGGATAGAAATATAGGGCATGGTCCCCTGAAAAAAATGAAATGAACAATGAATAGCTAAAATGTATACCGAAACTTACTGTACCATGCGAATAGGTGCTAGTCGTGCCTTCCGCCAGAATCGAGGTGTGATCGAAATCAATGAAGTAACCGATACCGTCATAGACAACAAAATTATTAGGACTGAGGTCCCCATGCAAGACTCGCTTCTCAATCATCATGTGATGAACTGAAAATAAAGGTCGATACAAGTATTTTGCATGCTCAATAAGACTCACCAACTACAAAGGCATGGAAGGCGGTGAGCAGTTCTCATCTAGAGCTGAATTTAGATAATGGCTCTCCACAGGGGGACAAGAGAATGCGGCGGTGGAATCTGTTGCGGAACATCAAGTCGTCCCGATGGCCCATGTTGTATTGGCTGCGAATGCACGCTGTGCAGTCAGGCTCCCCTTTGTAATACACGTCCCAATGGTCTACGAGTTCGACAACATTAGGGATGCCCTTGACCATCTGCAGGATGGTCGTTTCGTGCATTCTCTTCTCCTCTGTCACCCAACAATCTTTTAAAGTGTACTTATTCCCTGCCTCATCAACAACACAATAACAAACCGTTCCACGACAGATAAGCCCATGGCTCTTCCACAGAACCTCCATAATGGAATACATTTTGTCGTGGTTGTCCTTCACCCAGCCCTTCGCCTCGGGTGCTAAATTAGAATGAGTTCCTGTGCATGCAGTGTTACACATGTGGATCGTCGGATCGAAACCCAAATGGTGAGTATCTGATAGAGTGAGGGTGCTCAACATCTCTGTGAGTCGCACAGGGCCCATGTTTTGATGAATGTGAAAGGGATGGGATATGATGAGACCGGAGCGGTCAAAATAATGTGCATGAAGCTGATTGGCACAAATCGAGAACTCAACGACAAATCGACGCCATGGTTGTTCTCTCAGCATTAGGTAGGCTTTGGTCATAGATCCCCAGAACACTGGTATATCTCGCTTTTTAGCAAGATCACTGGAGGTATGCTCCATGAAGGACAGGACGTCTGCCCATGTCTTCCCCATGTTTTTGATGGCGAAGTCAAACAGGGCTATGTCGGGCTTCTGGCAGTTGTATTCATCTGGGATAGGAGAGGTGGAGAACTCTGCAGACCAGTACCGGGACCCAGCCGATATGTTGAAAGGGAGGTGGTGTTTCAGTTTGTGATGCAGGTGATACTGGATGGTGTAGAAGAGACGTTGAAACTCTTTTTCAGTTGTCACAGGCACCTGCCTGTGTCTTTTCTTCGATCCAGAAGGCTGGTACTCTTGGGAACTCCATGTTTCTGTTTCAGATTGGCCATGGATCACCGAGTCAAAAGAGGGCTCTACGCCAAGCACTGCACCCTCGATCTCTGCATTGTCAATATCCGTATCACCATTGTCCATATCATCATCCTCTGCATCCTCGCCATCTGTATCATCATCCTCTGTATCCTCATGCTCTGTGCCACTGTCCTCCGTACTGTCATCTTGTCCATACTTTGTGCCACGAGTACATTTGATTCCTTTTCTTCTGTGGTGGAATTTCCATTTTTCTCCAGAGTATGCAGATGGTCCTGTTTTGTCGTACTGGATTGTCTTGATCTCGCTTAATTGGAGAGTAGTTTTTATCACAAGATTACAAAAAATGGAGTTCTCCAATGGTATTCTGGCACCCCTTCCAACACCTTCATGAATCAGGCGGTTTTTCAGCTCTTGCCTAAGGAGAGCTTGCGTAGTATCTAAGGTGCGTGGGCCAGAAGGGACACCAACAGAGCTTATCGTTGCATAGAGCAGGAATTTGTCGATGTCGGATTGCCGGGAGGACATAGATGACAGCATTGTCTGAGTCAGGTGGGAGTCGACGCTCAACTTGTCGTTCAGGCATGCAACTACCAATTGGGCAGTGTCTGCGACTCCATGCACGCTCCTTATCTGTTATGATAATGGATCAAAACATACGGATCAAAATTATCAGAAAACATCTCTGAGCACTATTCTATGTATCTATCCATTGTGAAGCATGGTAAAGTGCATAATAAAGCTGCTTGTTGAAGTACTTGTTCAAGAAAAAGGACGAGGAATAATGTGCAGAAGTCTCCTTTGTCAACCGCGCGTCCGCTGCAGCTTCCAGCTCAGGTATCATGCTGATAAAGGTACACATTTGCTTGAGAGGAACTATGTTACCTACTGGAGTACCATCCCCATGCTTAGCACACTTCAATACATGCATCCCAGCAGTAGGATGGACTGCGCCAACCTTCAGGTTATGCACATAGCATAGATACTGATCTTGCCAAGTGATATGAGAACCTCGTTGGGCCATTGGGTGGATGATAAGCTGGACTTCACAGATGGCGTGCCCTTCCAAGGAGTCACATTTCAGCCAGATTGATAAGAATGGAAAAGGACTCACCCCTTAACCCTGACTGGGGCCACTCATACTCTCTATCGACATTGATAAGGACGGCGTCTCATTGGCCTTTCGGCCACCCAGGACATGGTGGAGAGGCATGCAAGGTTTGCGCTGGTAAGATGACACATGGATCATGGAAGGAAACTTCCTGCAAGCGAACTGTGTGCCAAACTTGCACGCGATCAAAAGGCAGAGTAGAAGGACGGTCGATTAATGATCTTCTTGAGATTCCAACCCCATGAATCACATCTCTGTTCCTCGCGTCAAGTCGCAAGAAGTTTGAAATAGCATCACAAAGATCCGGTATGTTGAACTCATCTGCAACATCGTCAATTTTCATTCCAGTGCGAGTTGGACTATAATTTAGATAGATAGCGGTATTACCAGCGGTAAACGTTCAAGGAGGATGAGGGCTAGGTCCATGAGGTACAGTAGCCGCCTCCTTAGCTTTGAGGAAGTAGTTAGTAGTAACACGTGTGCGATTAAGCCCCTCCAGGAGTGCAGTTCGTTGATCAGTAGACGGTTCTTCAAGCTCAGCAATGTCTTCATCGTCTCCCTCCTCCATGGGTAATTCTTCGGGGTCTGGATCAACGACACCACTCTTCAATGTCATAGCAATCGCAAATCGCCGCAGCTTGTCCTGTCGATCTAAATGATGGCAAATCTGAGGGTCATAATCATTATTGTTAGTTTGTCGCGCAGGTTCCTTGATTTTGGATACATGCGCATGTTCAGTGGCGTCCGCAGACCACTGGATGAGGGCTCCAACTTTATGTGTGCTGGCAGTGATGCTTTGCATTAACTCTAGCTTAGGTATATACCAATTGTCGATCGTCTTCTTCGTACTGGTCCGTGTGCCCAATGTCATAATAACATCTTTGTTTTGATGAAAGGTCGAAAGAGATTGGTCAATAGATGCCAATAGATTGTCATCCGGAGAAGGGGATTGTGACATATACCAGACATCCATAAGGGCACAGATCGCGATCACGAATCGACGAGGGGCTGCACCGACGATGAGACCGACAAAGTAACGCTGCAGATCACGGTGAACTCTGCCCGTAACTTGCTTGAGCTTCGTTATTCCGCCAGAATAGTGACGATAGCCTGTGACTGGCTGCAAAATCGAGAATCGAAAATCGAGTTCTTGAGCTCCAAGAACTGCAATGCACCACTGAAGGTCATGATCAAAAAATTGCTTATGCCAGTGATGCAGAGCCTCTGGAGTTAGAAAGACCGAGGGGCAAGCAAACGGCCAATCTTGCCAGAAGGGCGCATGGACACCATTTAGACGATATATGGTGCATGCATCAAAATAACCTTCGAGGTCATTGGGATCAACGTGTATCTTGGCAAGCTGATCGAGAGTGATATGGCATGTAGGTTCGGAGTGACGAAAATTGTCCCCAAACTCCAGATATGATGCCATCGTAAATGGGGAGGTTTTCCCGTGTACGCATGCAAGCATACATGCCTCCGGGGTATCAACGATGTATGCTGCAAGGGGCGTATAGCAATGGCGAACATTTCCAACGGGATCAGACATTATCCCGATCTCAGCCGCAATCATCAATGGCTTTAAGACGATAGAAAGACATTGATGTATGAGGCGGTCTTCGAGAACACCTCGCATCCGTTGATTAGAGTGTAAGTACTGCGGGATAGGGAGGAGTGCTGTGAGTAGGAAGGCCCTGGATGAGAGCTTCATGCGAGTTTGCATGTGGATATTGGCGAGACCGAGAAGAAGCGGATGAGCAACTCTAGCACCAGTCATAGTGGTGATATTTGTTTGTCGGAGGAAAGTATGGTACCAAGAATTGTAGTGCCTCTGGGTACTTGACTCTGTAGCCCTATGTAAGACAGCGCATGTTATGGGGCTCAGATACATACCTGGAACTCCCAAGCAAAATCCCCTGTCAGCCACTCTGAATAAACGCGGGTAAGCCGTGCTGCGGTTGTGTACACGCGACGAGGGACAAAATCAAGCTTGTCATGGAAAAGGGGGTTGCTGAAGAGGGCTTCTAAGCATTCGACCGGATCCCTCCAAAAAAGTTGGATTGGAGTTTTGGTGCGATGGAGAGATGGGATAATTTGACACTTCCAGCTTGGTCCCTTGGGTAGCATCTCGGCTTGGCTTCGCAATTCTTTAGCAGTACTGAATGAAAGCTTCAATCCGTGGATCTGTAAAGTAAGGACATGATCAGTAAAAGTGCGAGAAGGATATTAAGAAATACGAGAAGGATAAGAGACTTGAGAATTGCGAGGAGAAAACACTCCAAAGTTGTGAGTCCATAAGATCTCAAAGTGCCAGCATTTGTGAAGAGCACTCACTATTGGGAGCGCTAGAAATTCATTGATTGCAGCCATACTAAGGGGAGAACGAAGAAGAAAATCGGTGATTTCCCACTCCTCTTTTGATGCAAAAGGATAGAATAAATTATCCTTTCTGTATTCTGCATACTCATCCGCGTCAAAAGATCCAAGAACGTCAGGCTGTCTTGAGAGTAACGAGTCCCTGCGTCTTTGTACTGTTCCTCTGCACTCATGGATTCCTCTCCCTCTGTCTCGAAGAAGTCGACATCGAAATGCGAAGGGTATGCGTCCGAATTTATACTATGGTAAAGAATTGGATCGGGGGACCGCCGTAATTGTAGAATTGACTCTGAAAACTGAGAAATGTCCACCATGTCACAAATAGAACTACGACACGATGATCGAGGCTGACTGAGGTGACAAGTGACACTGGACTCCTTGCTGAATACTTTCCCGCATTTTGGACATGATATTGACATGGTTATTTGGAAGGAAAGATTTGTTCACACGCTTAAGACTTATCTTTGCTTGTACACCCACCATAGTATGATATATTTACATATGATGGATGATTCTGTAACTTCATCTCCAAGCTCTTCGGTAGTCTCATCTTTGTCCCGCAATTCTTCTTCAAGAACTCAGTCCTTGCACTCATATAGTACTTGCTTCAAGTATCGCCTCCAAAGACCTTACAATGCGACATCAGTTGGACACCGCACGTCCTGCCAAAGTCTCTCTCCAAACAAAAGTTTATCTTCTCAAATGGGATCATGCACTATTAAAGACAAGCCCAGCTTATCCGGAGGCCTGCAGTTTGTGAGTTCGTGTGTCCAGTGTTCCGTCTTCAATTGTTCTTAATCATTGCACATAAGGACCTCGACTACCCATTATTCAATCAACCAGACGAAGAAGACCACTCCAATCTTGCACTTGAAGCAGCTCAAGCAAAATGTAGGATTTGTCAAGCCCAAAAAGACCTCGCAGACAGCATCTTGGAGCACCACATAGTACTTACTAACCTCCATTGCCGTCGTGTAGAAGCTGCGAACATGCGATTATTGACGGCTGACCTTGACATCGGATGCATGCACATAGAGCAGAGGAGAAATGGTATTCCGACATTTATTGGGCGCAGGGCTGGTGGTACAAGTTAGACTAGTGTTGATACATACTTGTATTACGTGCATAATCTGTATTGCTTGTACACTCTGTAGTTCTTGTGGTGCTTGTCCACCTGTTTGTTTGTGCTTAGCGGCTCCAAATTTTGAATTGCTTGTACATTTGTAATACCTTGTATAGTTTGTATAGACTTGTTGTTCGTGTAAAACCTGTCACCAAATTAGTAGTTTGCTGATGCAGGCGCCAAGCACATGCTGATTGTTCCCTCCCATTTGAACAGATCCATATCTGGTGCAAGATGCGAATACAATCCAGAAATTTTCACAACACGGAACAACTCAAACCCTTGCAAGCAGTGCTTGTTGAACCACATTCAAAGGCCTGGCCATATGGCAGGTATGATTCAGTCATAGTCAATGCAGATGAAACCTACAAATGGCCAAAGAGTGGTCTGGATGGTACGTGATGTTCCTTCTGCTGTGACTTTGCTGATGTGATACATGTAAGTCATTTTGTTGCTCACTTGCGCTTGATTTTCCGACCGATCACACCACTCTCATGTGCAGATACTTACTTTGCATATGTTGAGTGTTTGGATGTAGTGGCACTGGATAACCCCACTGGTATGTATATCTTAAAGCATGCTCATCGAGCAAATGGTGAACGAATTGGTGATGTTATCAGAATCACCCAGATTAAGGCACTTGGGCATCTCATCCCTCGTTTTGGTACCATAGCCAATCTGTGATTGACAGCACAGACTAGCATAAATCATGTCACAGAATTTTTTATGAACAAGTTCTGGAACAAAGAACTGTTCTATGCCCTTCACAAGGCATAGCTTGTATTTGTAAATCTACTGTTCATGTGACCTATTGATTAGACATTTTATAATTGGACCACCTTTCAGATTGTGAGAGTCTCAGCCAGTATCGCCCCACCCCCCCTCACCGTTGTCCTGACACATATCAACTGTACTTTTGTGATGGCAACAATGTTTGGGTCTACCAGTCCTTCATTCTACTGTACACGTACAACTGCGAAAAAGACAGACATCAAGACCCTCAACGATGATAAGAAGATGACGCCATCTGAAACCCCAACAAGCGCTGGGTTAAAAACTAATGGCACCAAACCGAAATCCAGAGTCAAAGCACAGAGTCTTTCTCTGCAAGCTCCATCGCTTAACACAACTACTACAGATGTTATCGCACGAACAGGTGTGTTGAGCGTAGCTAATTGTTACATTAAATATTTAATTATGATCCTCAGCCCAGATCGATGACTCCGAAGCTGAACTTCAAGCCATCCGAAATGTACTAGAGGGTTTGGAAAATATTACTGTGTCATCAGGTTTGTCAATAGCTTTCATATATAACATCAATATAATAATCAACTAGACCCATGCAACGAGACCATTCTTGATTCTCTGCAGCAAGTGCAAATAGAGCCGATATGTTTTTACAATGGCCCTTACCAAGAGTTTGCAATTGTGCTGGATGCAATCAGCATGCGGAGTGATTTTCTGTACTGTCTTGCAAAGTTAGTTACATTGTTTATAAATGTATGAATAACTAATGACTTGGACATCGTGCAGAATGACATATTTTCCACAAATGATGACCCTCATCATATACTCTCTGCACCCAATCCATGACCAAATGACTAGCGAGATCGCATCTGCGGTCTCGAGCGCACTTCGTGGCATCTCATACAAGCGATCCTTACTGATGATCAATGTCATACCCGGTCGCATCTCGTCCAAAGAAATATTCACCATCCCTGATCTGCAGATCACGCTGACCACCACCAAGAGGCCATCAGCGACCCAGGTTCTGTGGTACGTGGAGACCGCATTTACCCAGACCAAGTGTATGGTGTTGGGAAAAATAGAAAAAGTCATCGCCTCCCACCACGAGGTCGCATGTGTCCTATTCATCCTCATATCAGAGCATTCAAAATACAAATCACCTGCTGACGATTCCGCTACTTATGGTGAAGCACTTGCAGATAAAGCCGTGCGGCCGTACACCTTCTTTGCACCAGAGCGGGAGCCAGACAAGCTGTTTGGTCTTGTTCACACGATGGATTACACCTGGATCGATGTCTCTAAAATTGAATATTTCGTCTGGATAAAGCCAGACGACAGGCCCATTGACATCAAATTTCCTCATACAGCTTATGGAGTGAGTAAAATTAAGTTTGATGCATCTAAGTTGGCATACTGATATTGTCTTTTTCAGACCATCTTTCCGAATCTTAACATGGACCAGATCAATGACGCCTTGAACATTGGCCTGGACAAAGTTAGAGCAGAGATGACCAACACTTTGGACTTTATGGAACCTGGCGTCGACCACCATCATGTACTTACACCAAGCAGCATTGCATTTGACCGGGATTCAGATCTCACCTACATGTCAGTTTCTATCTACAGGACAGCCCACTTCCGGTACTGCGACTGGTACCATCGCCAATTCACTGGCACCAAACATTGTCGTGCAACCAGTGGCGCTGGCAGGCATGACGCTAACTCAGAGAGACCATCTACCAGATGGGCGATCCTGTCTGAGGCTGATGAGGAGAGACCCTCAACCAGTGGATTGGCCAGTAGCTCAGGCAGTACGTCAACCAGCACTTTGGGTAGTACATCAGCCAGCACTTTGGGCAGTTCTGTGGATGACGGTGGGGTGAGCGCTGCTACTACTAGCATTGCTGTTTTGTCTGCAGTAGTAGATGACAATAGCACCGAGATGGAGAGGCCTTCCATTGCGCTCACTACACATGTGTAATTTTACGACCCTCATTAGGTGATACTTTTTCTTCATGATGTCCTTTTACGAGCAGTTCTCTAGTCACAATGCTAGTAAGTACTACTAGACCTTACTACGCTACACAATTTATACACAATATGTATTACTTACGAAGTAACAACTTTGTACCAGTTATAAGCGATCATGGAGTCTGAATTTAGGTTTGTTCCCTTCGCCATGGCCAAGCACAAGAAGGTTGTTTCTGACGGTGAGTATGCTTCTATTTGCGTGATATTCTCTCCTCACCTGAAAGTTGAAGATGAGGTCCGCCGTTCCAAGCGAGAAAACTGTGGACAAGGTGGATACCTTGGTCAGCTGAAGAAGCTGGAAAGGGTCCAGACGAAGGTGCGACGACCAATGAAAATGAACCCTGCACAGAATGCTTTGGACAGTCAATCGGTCAACATCATGGCACCAGAGGCCACTAAACCAAAACCAAGGCCGAGACCGGTACCGAAGAAGTCCAGAACACCAATGAGGCTAAAATTGCAAGGCAGCAAGAATCAGGCCTCAATGTCTGAACATTTACAGGAGTCTCTGAGCTCACCAGAAGAGGACATTTTCAGATCTCAACTTTGTGGTCCTGACTCACAGTTCGGTTTCATTCCCCCCGATGTGTTCGCAGAGGCAGGCACGCTCCATTTGCAGATGCCATGGATCACGGCAAAATTTGGTCCCTTACCTGCAGCACTAATGACTTACATGCGAAGAAACAGAAGCACACGTGTCCTCTCTCTCCCTTCTGGTCCACAGATGATGATATTCCATCCCATCCCCAAAGCACTAACAACTCTCACATGAAGACAAAGAAACATGCAGGTCCAATCTCTGCATCTCAGTCTACTGGTGATGATGCTACTCTACCCCCTCCCCACATGAAGAAACAGGATCGTGCTATCGTGCCCCCTCCCCGCATGAAACAGAATATGCCTCAATCTCGGCCTTGCCCTGTTTCACCAACGGACAGTGATGTTCCATCTCCTCCAAAGCGCCGCCAAGCAACTCACAACCCAGGTAGAGGGAACCACCACACTGGCAGCCCTGATAATGCTGGTTCCATACACGATGTCCTGGAGGACCATCATAGGAAGAACCATTGTCCTCACACACCTGACTCAGATAGACTCAAGAATCTGTGTCGACAGGCAGCAGGTGAATCATCAACCGACAAAGAGGACAAGGTTGTAGACCCACCCAAGAGGTCACATTCGGCTAACAAAGCAGTGTCTCAAACCATTGGGTTTTATCCCCACTCTTGAAAAGATGTCCTGGAGGCTTCGAAGAAGAAGTCATGACTAGGATTGGTCATATATGGCACCACTTCGAGCCGCAATACGTTCATTGAGAAGACAGGTATAGAATATCTCACGGAAACACTTAATGATTTTGCAGCAGATGATATTGGCGTCGACGATGGGTACTGGGATATATATAAACGTGACATGGCAATTATTGTACATAGGCAGAGTCTCTCATAGTTGATACTAATTGTTGTTTCTAGTTATGGGATGACCGTGCTACAATGCGGTCCGAGATGAAAAATGCTGCACGGCCCATTGCTGCCAGCAAGTTCGGCATCCTACCATCAGACATTGACGACGACGACGAGTTTGAAGACTATGTCAGTCAACGAGTCACAGAGTTATTGACTGGAGGTTATTTCTTGCAGAACGGTGTCGATGAACAGGTGAGTTTATGAGAGGCACGATTCAAGATGCTAAATATTCTCACTAGGGGAGGACCAACAACCTCGCTCATGACGTGCTTGGCAAGCTGTGCAGTACCATTTTCTATAAGGGCGACAACGCACTTGCCAAGGCCTTCCCGAATATATTTGCTGAGGCTGTTCCCGAGGGTGCCGTGGCACTTGCAGCGACTGCAGTAGGTGTCAATCCTTCGCCTTCTTATTCAGGGCTCACTTCCACTAGCTTGCTGCAGCCATCAACGAGTACAAGACTGGGGTCTATCAGCCGACAAAATTTGCTGCCGACTTGTATCAACCTATCTATGAGAACGTCATTGAACTCTACACGTCAGTGCACCATGACCGTTATCACTCAAATAAATGTCAAGCGGTTCGCAAGAAGTGGGCCCGCGCTGCAGGGTATGTAATTTATCTATCAATATACTAATTTAGTTGACACTGTTCAGTGTTTTGACTCGCAATCATACTGGCCGGCGCCATGATTGGGGTCTCAAATTGAATCTCAATTAGACACATTTACGTACATGTATTGACAATTGGCAATGTAATTATGATTTGATTGGTGCTCTATTATTGAATTTGAGTCTGCTGTACCTTGCATGTATTGCTCTGTACCTCATCTGTTTGGCCTCTGTAGACTTCTGTCGCACTTCTGTACCATTCTGCATGAACTCATATGTACTCAGTACATGTGTTGAAGAAGATGGAGGGGCATAGTACACTTTAGTAGGCAGGTATAAGCATTAGCAATAGGCAGTTGAGTACAAGTGTAAGTACCGCTGTAGTTCTCGATTAGATAATGTACCGGTCAAACCTGAGCGTGGGTGTGGGTGTACTCAAAGTGCGGTCCCCCACTCGTACCACAGTAGTACCCATACCCGTGCACATGCCTAGCTAGAATGACATAGTAGACTTAAACATTACCAAACTCCCCGCAATACAAGACCCTTGTGCATGTTCAGCATGTGTGTGTGTTCAGTGTCTGTGTGTGTGTCGTATGTACTATGTGTGTGTGAGAGTTTTGTGTGTGTATATTATTTGAACTGTTCCATATGGCGCTGGATTCGTTCAACTATTCAGCACATAAAATAAACATACAGACACATGACACACGCGCACACAGTCACGCATTGACAACGCACTGACACATACACACAACATTTGAAGACAACATGATGCACATAGTACTTAGGTAGTACAGGGCTATATAGCCTACTATGTAGTCATCTATCAGTTTCTCCACGACGAGACTACTAATTTGATGAGAAAGCATCTAATTCTGCACATGTCAGCATTTGGTCAGGCTCCGTGATCAGAGCTGCCGACAGCTGCTGAGCCATCTCCTCAATGAGATCATAAGCGAGATGAAATGCTGTTCCTTTCTTCACTGTTTGAAGTAGCATTTTCCAACACTCCGGGTTCACCCTCCCAATTTCAAAACCCAGCTCCTGGAAACAATCGACGGCCTCACGGAAGACTTGCGGGTTGCGACCATCAAGAAGGAAACGGGCCATTGAGTTCCACCAGAGTTGCCACCAGTCAATGGAACATGCAGTGTTGTTGGTGCAGCACGCAGCGTGCTCAATAAGGGGTGGCTCCTCGCAGGCAACAATGCGACGGTGTTCGTCAAGAAGCTCTTTCACATCAACAAGGGCATTCTACACTTCAAACCCGAGCTTCTTTCGCATTGGTCCTGGAATGTCTCGGATGCGAAATTCAATGAGATGTTGAAACACAGGAACAAAGAACTTCGTAATTGAGAATTCGAGACAGAGTGCGAGAAGGTCATATGGTTTGTGTCGAAATCGTTGTTCATGAAAGTGATGAATGGCAATATCACGAGTTTTTTGACTCATGAACTTGTTGCTGAACCGTAGGAGGTCAATAACATCACTATGGGTAGGACCTTCTGGTTTCCAACTGTGCAATTCTGCATTAGAAGACAGTGTACTAACATGAAAATTTATCTTACCTGTTATATGCAACTGAAAGGTAGAGCTTGAACATGTTCGTGCTGAGTTCAGGAATTATAATTGGGTGATCATCACTTGAGCCGTCCGTGCCCTCTATTGGTTGTGATTGCCCCCCGACAGCAAACATCTCCTCAAATGTGATTGATGTGCACGATAACTGAGTCGCGTGGACTTTGAATAATGTGTTTTTGACCTGCATTTAGTTATTAGTAGTGTCATGGGGAATCACTGAGTGCATATATATGTGAACAATCCGCACCAGGAAAATGTGAGTACTGTCGTATATATAAAAACAACGATGTCAAAACTTCAGGAGGCTTGGAGCTAGTAATGTGGCTGTTCGAGCCTCGAACATGTCTTGGCTGATTATCTGTGAGATGGGAATATTATGAGGCTTTAGTTCAGAGCACAAACCTGAAGAATGTAAATGTAGTATGGGCTAGTGGGAGGTGTGGTAGACAAGTCACGCTTACCACACAAGGGGTTCACTGCTTCTTTTTCGCTTCATCACATCTAGAATGCAACTGCTGGCGGACTAGTATGGACCTTCCAGCTTTACTGGAACGTGAACATCCATGGCCACACAATATCCATACTGCGGATGGTATCATTCATAATATCTACAATGGTGCAATCAGAATGCTTCAGTCAAATGATGCAGAACCAACCAGAGTTGCATATCATTACGATACACTGTCTTCAGAGGCCCTACCCTTACTCGAGGCCATTGAAAGTGATTCAAGTGATGCTGATCACCAGCTTCTTTATGAGTGGCTACTAGTGTGTGCTAGTCTTGTGGGTGAAGCAGCTGGAATGCTCGAGGAGATCAGCCAAAACACCCATGTGTGAGTTATACTCGTGGTACTCATTTAGATCCTTTGACCTGACAATACTGTCACTTTGGTCTATGTAGGGAAAATGTTGAACAGTCAAACATTATCATCCCACAGCTTGTGACCGAGGACCGTGGTCATGGACGTCGAGGGCATCCAAGAAAAGATATCAACCTTGAACTTGTCCGTGAAGCCCTGTCTAACCAGCGCCACATCACACTCACAGAGCTTGCCCGACTCCTCCAAGTGTCTCGCACGACTGTGTGGAAATTGGTTCGCCAACATGGTCTTGAAAAATGCTTCACAACAATTAGTGATGCTGATCTCGATCAACTTGTGAAGGTTTTCAAGGAACGCAAACCAGAATCAGGATTCTGTTACCTTGTTGGCTTCCTTCGGCACCAAGGAGTTAGAGTCCAGCAGCACCATGTTTGGCAGTCCTTGCACTGAGTTGATAGATTAGGACAAAGGCTGAGAGAATGACATGTTACCAGACGGTGAAAATACCGAGTTGCTCGACCAAATGCACTTTGGCATGTAGATGGTCATCACAAGCTCATTCGGTGGGGTTTTTTTGTCCATGGATTTATTGATGGGTATTGTCGCACTGTGAATCCATTGTTAATGATAAGGAAAGCATAGTAACTCACTGATATCTCAACAGATAAGAGCACTACAGGCCAGCACAAACAATCGTGCATTGACTGTATTGGAACTGTTCATGCACGCAAGAGATGAATATGGCATGCCGTCTCGTGTTTGTGGAGATCGTGGAGGGGAGAACCTTCAGGTCACTACACATTTAGTTGCAACAAATGGCCACAATTGTGGCTCATTTTTATGGGGATCGTAAGTGTAGCCTCTTGAAACATTCCATGACTAACAATACATGATACTAGATCAACACAAAATTCTCGCATTGAACAGCTGTGGGTCAAAGTGGGCACACAGTTTGCGCGCCGATGGCGTGGATTTTTTACCAGGCTCGAACGACTTCATAAGCTCGACATTAACAAACCTGGGCACATTTGGTTGCTTAGTGTGCTCTTCTCAAGTGCACTCAATGATGATTGCCAACAATTTCAACAAGAATGGAATTTCCATCCGATTCATGGTTCTGAAACCAATAATCGAAGCCCTCAGGTCAGTATTTACTCAGCAACTACTGGTGCAGTGGCATAATTGCTATCTGACGACTATGAAGGATATGCGTCTTCTAGGACAGGCATTGTTAGGCATCTATGAAGATGAGTTCGAGGGGATCCATCCTGCAACTCTGCAGTGCTATTATGGTATTGATGGCAGAGAGACAATCCGCCGTCTCAATCAGACAGGTGCTGGCCACCCAAATGATGAGTTAGAGAACGAGGAAGATGGTGTTATTCATCATATCGAGCAGGATCAAGCAAATGATGTCCAACATGATGCCATTGAGGTTCCTGATGGTAATACCCCTCTTGTGAATGAAGATAATGAAGATATATTCTTCGAGATACTTGATGAGGTTATTACTGAGGGTATCATACCAGTGGGATATAATTTGCAGGAGGGTGAGGATGACTATGACAAAAACATAACAGAACATCTATGAGTCAGTAGACAGAGGGAGATATATGTTGAAGTATCTTTGGCAGACCCTATCTGGAGGACTCGTTCGATGCTATGGGCTCAGGCAGTTAGTGTGCTAGAGCATTTTGAAGCAGATTTATTCTTCTAATTTAATGTATTAATAGATCATGGTCGGAGTACTACTATGGCCAGGAACCCACTGTGTATAAATCCCACACTTGACCAACCCATTTTTGATCCGGTTCTCTCTTCTGTCCTACTCGCGATGTCAGATCTGGTGTATTGCAAAGGTAATCATCTCAAACCAGAAATGTGCTATTGCGAAGAGTACTCTGCACCCACAAATGTTCCTGTTGGCCAAAGAGAGCTTTGCACAAAATGTTTGCATGGGAAGAGCAAACATCCTCGACCTCAACAGCCTGCATCAGTGGCCAAGCCATTGGTGCCTCCCACATTGAATCTAGGTGCTCCGAAGCCATTCAAACCAGCAGCTGCAACAGCAAAGGAACGAGCTGGAGTGACGGCGATATACAAGCAATCACTTGCCCAACGTGCTGGGCAAGGCTCAGAACTCAAATTTGAGGTATCAACTGACAGTCGGAAGACAGTCACAGCCACAAGAAGTGAAGTTATGGCAGGATTCCACCCAACTATAAAGCGGAAAGTCACAGTGAGCAAAATCACCTAATGTTTGTTACCTTGAGCATACCCAGCTTTCATTTAGGGGAGCAGGGTTGTATCTTCAAGACGGGCCACTGCCAGCAGCTCATTGAAGCAACAACAGGTCCAGATTAGAGTTGGCACTGTCACTGTCTTGATCAATTACCTTGATGTACGTTGACCTAAACAAGCCGATGCTATAACTCGAAGCTTACTCAGCGACTGAAAGGACAAAGGACAATTGGTGAGCAGGGTCCCACCTGTGAAGACAGAGATGTCAAAACTCAAGCGAAGGGGATGTGCTCACTTTGACGAAGATGAGCCTGAGGACAATAAAGTGGATTTCAGCTTTTGCCCGGACTGGACATTTGAAGAAGTCGAAGAATATTTTCAGAGACTTTTTCCAAAAGTCTTTGAGTACCTTGACTCCGTAAAGAATGATGATGTAAAGGGGAAGGCTGTTGATAACGGAGCATCGTGAGCATTGATTTCAAAAGAAAACCGCTGGCTGAGTGTCGCACCTGAGCCACTGCTGAACAGTAAGCATCTTGAGCAGTACAGAGGCAGAAATAACGCACCTCTTGCAGTGACTAATATATTTATCAGTGAGCCTGCCATTAATGGCTCATCATGGATGAGATTTTCTAACCGGTGTACATGCAACAGCTAACCGGAAGTACATACCTGAGCACATTTGCGCACAATGGGACCCAGACGTGATCATCATTGATATAGATTCCGAGGCAGGAGAAGATCGAGATGATGAGCCTGAGGATTCAGATGCTCCAAAGACTGGTTGGTGGATTTTGAAGTGCTCACGTGCACCATCACGGTCACTGAATCGTTTTTCACTTCAGCATGTCCAAAACACTCAATCTGGTACACCAAACACGAAGAACCAGCTCGAAAGAGACTGCGTGGAAGTAAGTACTCTCTTGTAATTTTGCTACATGAACAAACCACTTACATTGTATCAAAAAATAAACCAGTTTGCGGTCAGCCCATCTAGTGCTGCTGCAGTTCGGTCCAGAACCTAGGTTTGAACCCAAACCTTTGCGGACCAGACCCATGGTTCGGTCACAGGTCCAGACTTTCTGTTGGACTGAACCCCTTGGTAGGTTCAGGGTTCGGTGTGTCATTGATAAATCTGGACCGGTTCTGAACACATTCAGACCGGTTCGAACCTGCTGACTTTTCGAAGTCGAAGCCTCATGTTTTTGGTGAGGCTTCTGTTTAAGTTTAAGTATTGTCCTTGCCCTTCTGTTCACTGTCTTCTCCTACTTCTCCTGCGTTCTAGTAGGCAAGGCGATCTCTCAGCGACTTTGGTAATGCAGCAACTCATTCGGGTGCCAGTGAGTTCACAACAATTCTACTGTCTGTCCCAATTAACTTATAATGCAATTTATTTCAGAACATACCTACTGTTGTGATTCACCACACTCGCCATCTGCCATGGGTTCTCGTTTTGGTGGTTCATGGTGCGCAACAGTTTTAAAACTAGTTTTAAATATATTCACTTGGTACCTAGGGACATTTATGCCTCCTGCTGCTATGTCTGAGTCCTCTGCACGTCGCGCTGACGGTTCGTTGAATCAATGACGCAGCCACATGAAGGCCTCGTCAAGAGCTTGAGGACTACCTAGATGCACCACTCGAGGATGTTGACAATGTAGTGGACTGGTGGGGGGTATGTATCATTGTTTAATTGTTGTTACTTGCATACTAATATTTTCCAGCACCATTCTATCCAGTACCCAGCCATTTCTCGCATCACCAAGGACTACCTCGCTATTCAAGGTTTGGCTGTTGTATCCGAGCGCACATTTTCAAGTGATGGCATTACCGGCATGGCACGTTGTAGCTGTTTGCAACCAGCAACGTTCGAAGCTCTTCAGTAACTCAAAAGTGTGTATCGTCAAGGCCATATCTCTGCAACTGTCCAGGCCACATCTTCACCTCCTTATGATAACTGTGTCGTTGTGCACAATGAGTAAATTTGGTAGCTATTTGTACAGTACAATGTTGTCATTTTCTAGTAATTGAAACAATGGTTCGAGGGTTCAAACCTGTTCTGAACCTGGACCGAACTCTTGCGAACGTGTTCGAAGGTGTCCGGTTCGAGGTTCAGCCATCTTGCCTGAACCTGACCACTGGTCAAGTTCGGGGTTCGCAAATATGAGGTGACGAACCCGACCGAACCGGACTTCGGCAGCACTAAGCCCATCGCATCAACATCTCGAATAAATTCGGAGAACAAGGAAAGCTCTTCAAGTCACGTTAAACGCAAGTTTGAGTTTTTTTTTTCTATCTGCTCAGTGGACGTCTAACACTTAAGATTTTACAGTTTTTGCTTCCGATTCAGATTCAGATAACGGTCTTGACACGCTGCCCAGTAGTCTGAAGGAAACATCACTCTCACCGCAGACTCAGAGACGCGCTCCATGCTCTCTGACTGTGATGCCTTCAACTAAAGATGAAGAACAGAAAGTTGACTTACAAGAAGTCTTCACAGGCCTGCAGACTTGGAATCATTCACCTGCAATGTCCATACCTAATTGACCACTCTTCCACCCTCTCATTTCAGTTGAACCAACAAGGAATGATATCTTGCATGGTCACCCGGATGTTAATGATTCGTTGTTGTGTCCATTCCACAACCCTTGGACAACTGACTACTTCATTGGTTCCATTAAACTTTGGCTTTAATTTTGTCCCATAGAATTTGAAGCTTCCTTTGATAAATATCTTATCACAATCACTTCGCGCTGGCCAAAACTTGGACACTACTATGCTTGACTACAATGAGTGCCCTACTACTACGGTTTCGAAAATTTCCTTTGCTGTCCCTTTACTTAGCTCTAATCCACAGTTTAATTCTCCTCATTCCTCCATCTAATCCTCCTTCATATAACTCACCTGAAAAAGTCGCTAAGTAAATAAAGCAATGTCAGAGGTGTGATCAGAGAACATTTTTTTACATTGTCATAAGTATACTAGTAATACATGAAGTTGCGCATATTAGGCCTTCAAACGGCTCTGAAACCACCTGAAAGTTCAGGTGGTAGAGGCAGGAGGGTGGTAGGAGACGACAAAAGGCCTTCGAACGGCTTCAAAATCACACAGGATTCTGGATCAAGGCTGGACAGGGGATGTAGGATGGTGGCGGAGGCAGGAGGGTGGTAGGAGAAGATAACAGGCCTTCGAACGGCTTCACAATCACACTGGGTTCTGGATTGAAGCTGGACGGGGGATATAAGATGGCGGCAGAGGCAGGAGGGTGGTAGGAGATGATGACAAGGCCTTCGAACGGCTTCAAAATCACACTGGGTTCTGAAGTTCAAAATTGACTTGTTAAAAATTAGCATTGATTTTGGTCTAGGCTACATAATCTAGATAGAAAGTGAGCAAAAACAACCGTCAAAAACATGAATGTGACAGAAGGGGAAGTGGTACTCCGCTACTCAGCCTTGGGGCGGTAACGGGCCATACCAGGCATCATAGGGAGGGGGGTTGAAGCAAACCAAAAAGAAAGGATGACGTACCAGTAATGACCACTTATGCAGAAGTTCGAAAGTTAGATTCGTTCGCGGGAACAACCGGAGCAAGGTTATTAGTCGGCCCCTAGTATGTGAATGCGTGACTGTGTGTGCGTGTCATAATTAGTATACTGTTGGACGATTTATGACAAATGAACCAACGCGGCAGGATCACAACTAAGAGTCTCCAGTAGGACCTCAAGAGCAGTGGGTTCTCCTTCTTCCACATCAGATGGATCTTCCAAACCACATAGCTTCGAGAGTGCAATGACAGCCTGGACTCGAACAAATGTTTCTTTATCGTGCACACGCTCGAAGAGAGCTGCACGGAGCTCAATGTACACCATTTCGGTGGGCCTGGTCAGCCAGGTTTATTGCACAAAATAGGTCACTAACCTAATTTCACCCAAATGCGCGACCATCTCCGCCAAAAAGTGGACACAGCGGTAGCGTGTGACTTTGTCCTTGGCTTCAAAGCCGTTTAGGAGGAAGGTAAGCACGTTCTCAATGAATCGAGAGGCTGTGGTATCATCGTCTTCATCGTCATCCTCTTTCTTTACCTCAGCGGCTGTAATAAGATGATGTTTAGCATCAGTGAACGAGCAGACATCGTACCTCTCTCATTGATATATTTTGTATACGCTCCAACAAACTTGACTATCCCGTCACCCTGCGTTTTCTGGTGATTTCAGTTGAATTCTGAACTTGGTCAAAAATCTTGGGCACGTTGGACGGCAGCTTCGTCATGGCAAGGGGGTAACACGGTCCCCTTGCCATGACCAATTGTCCGGATAAGGATTGGACTACATATGGAAAGTTCAACGTGCACGTGATTTTATTGTTTTCTAATTGAATTCTCGCACTGATGCAGCCCTCTTCTCTCGACACTGCGATTGGGAAGGAACCTGATCGAACATGAGAGCAGAGAGGTACACATAGACTAATACATACGACAGTGGAACAGGTAAAAGGATAAATAAATAATATACTAATGCCTATTATGCATGATTGAATGAGTTCCGCGAAATAATTCGTCAACGTACAGGATCCAAAGAAGCAACAAATTGAGAAGCGAAGAGTTGGAATCAGACTTTCCTACGTTTGCCAGAACTGTTGGACATAGGGTCAGAGGTACGACTACCTGTATTGCCGGCAGATTGAAGTGAAGAAGTGCCTGCTTGTGGTGAAGGTCCGCTAGCGGACGTGTCTGAAGGGCGCTTCCGACATGTACGACGCATCGACCTCGAATTATACTCGATGAACTGATAGGAAGATGGCGTGGATGGCAGTGCAGAACGAGAAGGGTCGGAAGATGGTGGTGGAACCGAGGCTCCAGAGTCATAAAGAGAGGGACAGACAGGGGGAACAAGCTTGTATCTGTCCACATTCACTAAGCGAGTGATAGACGATGAGTACCTCTGTCGAGCATTTTCGACCACTACCTTGCTGGGCGCTCCATCATCAGCCGGGGGTATCAAGAGTATCATTTCTCTTATCACACTAACGAGCGCGGCGTGGGTCAACGAGGAGCGTTTCGAGTTGATTGTGCGACTGTCCTCCTGGGTTGGCCACAACAAGTTAAATAACTTGCGCCATCCATCACTGAGTTTGCCGACCTTCCAATATGGATGGAGTGACAGGTCGAATATCTCATAGGTAAGGGCCCTTTTCTGGCGCAACACAGGTTCGGTCCGCGGGTGTAGAGAACCCATTTTGGCCCACTCCGGGACCATCGCATTCCGCCTTTCAAACTCCTCATCGCCACTTTTGGCAGAGGTGCGTTGCGTTGCGGTAAACCGCTTAACCGAGGTAGAAGGCTGACCTTTGCCAGACCAGTGGCAGGAGGGTCGCTGGAATTTGCTGGATATGAGGTCGCTGGCTTTGTCGTTGGGCATAGAGTTGTCAGGAATGGGTCCCGGCTTTGGAGGATCAGGCCAGTGTTCGACCTGATGGTACGGACCCTTGAAATTCACGCCCACGATCCAAATCAGGAAAATATATGACTCTAGGTCGTGCGTGAGGTGGGGAGCCTCTTTTGAGTCGGCGGTGGTGCCAAAAGGAAAAGTCCCCTGCAAAAAAATGAGCAGAAAGAGACGGAAATGACATGAGGACGTACAGTGGTAGTTACAGCATTGGCCGCACCGGTTTCATCCAACATGTTCAGGCCAAGGCCGAAATCACCGGCCATCCCAGGACGCTTGGGAAACCAGGGTGCAGGGATTTCCAGGGTGCAAAATTCTGGTTTACCATTCTGGGGTGATAGATACCATTCTGGAACTGCATATTGGGGATCTGTCTGAGGAACCCAGAACCAGACGTTACCGTCGCTGGTGTCGCGGTGCATGATCCCACGCCTGCACGCTTCAAGATGACCTGCGGATAATGTATGAGACGAGATAGGAGGCGCGGTAGTGATTACATGCTTGCCTAGTAGTGAATCCAATATACAATGTAAAAACTCACGGCGACAAGAGAACCAAGTGCATCTGACGGCCGGGGTGCGAAATACTGTGCGACAGTGGACTAAAGTGTCGCTGGCTGTAGTCGTTTCCTTTAGAATGTTTGACACACTGTCTAAAGCTTTCTGGCCGTCATTGCCATCCGTCATCTCGAGAGGTTTCACAGAAAACCGATTATCTCGTATAGGAAGATGCCAGGGGTACATTCCTTCGACGTTCAAATCATCCCATTGGGGCGAAGTGCCCCAGGACTGGAACAGTTCTTCTGTAAGTCCGGCCTCTGCGGGCGTTTTATGAATACGTTCTGGGAACCCGCCTGTTGCTTCAATCAGATCAACATGCGCATCATAGATCTAAGTTGGACTTACTGCCTAAAAGTTTGCGCGTCTCATCGATACGCCCATGATCCTCCAGCAACTTGTGAATTTCTCCATCTGAGGCGAGCCAAATGTTCTGCCACACATCCTTCACGATCAAGTTGTCCGTCTCAGCAAGGGAGCGTTGGTAGGTAAGGCCCAGGATCCTGGTAGAACGACCGATGGCCGAATTGCTATTGTAGATCACCGACACGATATCGGTCATCGCCCCGTGCGCTAATTCAGCGTCCCCATTCAAGGCCATCCTGAAGCCGCGGCTGTTTCTTATAATAGAATTGTCATAACCGAGGAGCTCCAAGTCGGCGTGCTTGAACCACGCCATACAGTGAAGAAAATCGTTAACGTCGTGATACATGTCGATTGGAGTAGTTATGGACGATCCTCCGCGGGTGTAGATGTACACGAAGAGATCAGTACCCAACATGAGCAGACCCACGAAGTACCGCCGATCAATCTGATTCGTCAAAATGAATCGTGCGATCTCTGACATGTAATTCGTTGCATCCTCCATGAGAGCCTTGGTGTTGCGATACTTGAACTCTAGCGCAGAGATAACATCCGTCCATTCAATGAGGTGGATAGGCCTCGTGGTATCCACCAATACGCCTTCAGGCTTGCGAAAACCGGGCCCGTTAGGAGCAGCCAAGTTTGCACCAGTTTTGGGACGAATCAAAGTGTTGTCGGTGTGAAGCCAAGTACGTTTACGAAGTTTCGACAAGACCGACCTGCCCTGCTGGTGGGTGATAACTTCGTCAACCCAAGTACTGCTCTGCACGCCGTTAGTGAATACCAAGTAGATCGATGACATCTAGCAAGTTCTGCTAACTTTATTCAAAAAAATCAAAACGGCCTTCTTCTTTGCACCATCAGTTTGCCTGTCGTACAACCAAGGGCACACAGCAGTCGACCAATGACCCATGATGCGGCCTTGCAGCTCCACAACTTGAAACTATTGCATGTCATTAGCGAACGGTTTGTGAAATGATAGGCGCATACTTTACTGCACCACTCGTCAGCCACATCTTTAGCCTTGTCTTGAAGGACCCCCCGTTTTATAAGCTCATCTCGTACCCTGCCCCTGGCTACCACCATGTCATCGTGAAGGTCCGCCGGTTTTAAACGAGATGGTGAATCATCCTCTAGTCGCGCTTTCAACCATCGCGTTCCGTTTTCGTGCATAAGGGATGCTATCGCCTCCAAGTCGTCCTCATTTACGTTTGCATTAGCAGTAGAAACCACTTCCTTGAGCGCCGAGAACGGATCTTGATAGTGGCCTTTCTGAACAACCAAGGACTTCGTTTTTTTGATAATGTCGTCTGTTATGAAATCGGGCCTGGCATGCGCTGCATCCAAAAAGTAGCAATTCCTCCGAGGAGCGCTGTAAGATGCATAGCGGTTATTGCGCTCCGTCCATAGTTGCATGGCGCTCGCCCTGGGATACTGGATGTCCGATGGGAGTAAAAATGAATGTAGCTGGTGAGTGTCATGTTAGTTACACAGCAAATAATTATCAAGTAACAGTGACTTGCCGTCTCTCTCAGCTGTGGCTTGGGGACCTGGGGGACAAGGGCATTGGACTGCACATGAACCAAAGCTTTCCCACGGAAAAGGGAGCCATATTTTCCCACTTGATTAGTTTGCTATCAATTTTGATTGTATATAGTCTCGCTGTTCTGTGAAATCACGCTAGCGCTTTTGATTCAGGCATACGTTTGCTTTGCTTCCTGTAACACTCATCGTCGTTGTTACTTGTGTCATCAAAACAATACAAGCTCAGTTTGACATCTCCTACCATCCAGATCTTGTCCTTCTGGACGTGGATCCTGAATTCGCAGACAATTTCGCTCGTTGTGCCAGGTGGTACGCCTTTCAGTCAACTATACTTTGAGTACCATCATATTCAAGCGTCAAGACACTGAAGCTGTGCAGATTGATCCACCTTCCTCGTCCAGTGCGAAACAGAACATTTCAGCTGTTTAAAATGTAAGCATCTTTGTTGTCCGAGTCATCTACACTCTCAGATATAGCTTAAATTCTGAAGTCCAGACGTTCAAGGTCAGTCGTGTTGCGCGTGGTTTAGCTTTTTCACCTATCAAATCATCCCGAAGGAACACAGCTCTCCGCTCACAATAAGCGTACATTCTCGCAGTCTGCAGCGGTCGTCCATTTTGCTTAGTATCCTGGGGCATCATCCGATAACGCTCCAGCTTACTGTTTCGTCGCTTCTGTGCGTGACTGTCCAGTAAAGCTTCTGGATGCTTCGGGTGGAAGGGTAGTACACCTATTGTTCATATACATTTTTGAGACCGCTGATCGATCCTACAGCTGAGGGCCTCATACCCGATTATCGATCATCGTGAGAGGTTCATCGCTTCTCACAGCCGACAAGTAAGCCTGTCATGAAAGTTTCATTTGTATTTGATAATAATCACCACGTGCATCACGCACACCAAGAATATACTGCGATCCGAAGATGCCATCGAGAACTTCGACGTACAACAACCTGGGGAGGGCGATCGGCTCCCGACCACGCCCTCCAAGAAAAGCAAGCATGACCTCAAAGGCAAGACGTTAGGTTTACTATTCGTATAGATGTTGATCCAATTTCCGAGTCAGGCTCATATCCAGCGTAGCTTTCTCTTCCTCCTACGACTATTATGCGATCGGCAGCCTAACACCTTCCTCACAAGCGATGGATAGTATTCTGAGTACAATTAACCAGCTATCATACCTATATGAGGCAGAGATTCTCATTCCGGAGTCACGCAGGCATGTCGCCTTGAGAATTAGTAAGAGAGCTTATCTTATCCCTCACAGCTGAATTTTAACCCAACAAAACCGCATATTCTGTATGCCGCATTTCGTCAACACAATTAATTACCTCTCCTACTGATGACCGAAGCTCACTATCTATTGACCAGCACCGCCGCATGAAATTCAGGTGATTAGACTGGATTTCGATGGAGGAGTCGATGGGCTCTGTGCGATTGAGCTTAGCAGAAGTAACGTGCATGGCAGGCTTCAGCCACCAGTAAGGCTGTTTCCCATATAGGACCTGCACGCAGGCGAAGTTAGTGTCACCAGCCAGTCAACGCGAGACTACGGACCCGAAGCATGATACCGCCGAGAGCATATATTTCAGTGGATATAGTTGCACATTGTATGGTTTGAGCTTTTGAGAGGTCTAGAAGCTCTGGAGCGACCCAACGTACTGCACCGGTGTGATAGGAAAAGGCAGGGTTGGATTGCACCATGATATTGGAGATACCAAAATCTGCAAGACGAGGGGACCCGTTGGCAGACACCAGAACATTACTCTACAATCACTTTAAGATAATTCCAGTTGCATGGCGTGTGTGAACCTACGTTGGTGAGGTCGCCGTGTATGACGTTGTGATCGTGGACTGCAGAAAACAAAGTTATATTTGTAACATCCATGGTCAATCCATCACTCACGATACTGAAGCCCCTCAATAATTTGTTCGAGCTGTTGAAAACGTAGTAAGTTCCCGAACTCAGCTTCGTGGATAAGACTCACCAGCCGAAGCCTGTCTATTGTCGAGAGGGTATTATGTGCATGCTTAAGGTAAGAGTCCAAAGTTCCGTTGGGCATCCAGGGGGAAACCAATGCGCGAAATGGGCCGAATTGCTCTACAGTGCCATGTAAGGGTAATACATATTGAGGCTTTGACACGGCCCCTATACGGATCTCGCGGTCAAGGTTCTGCGTCTCACAAGTTCATATGTGCGGCCATCAGACCGGCACCCAACATACTTTGTTGATTTTGACAATTTCAATATCACTTAGACTTGGGAATCGTGGGGATTTGACCGCCACCTGAAGTCATAATCAGAACATGCAGAAAAAGTAAGTGTATAAAATACCTCATCAGAGCTTGCGCCACGGTTCCATTTACACTTGTAAACATCTCCTAAACCACTCGAGGTGGTTGGGTAACTGGTTTCCCTGTGGATATCACTTGCTTTGATACAGGGGACACTATTACTGTTCCATGTTTATGAAGTCCTGCTGAGGCAAAGAAATGACATACAAGTCCTCTGTGTCAACGGAAGGCTGAACAGGAGATGTTTGGCCACCTGGTGCATGGCCAACCTGTTAAAGTGAGATGAATGGATGGCTCCATGGTCAATGTCAACAAATGTACAAGACCGTGTAGGAATTGTTGAACGCGGTCGAGCATGTCGATGGGTAATTACAGTGGAAGATGGTCCTGTTCCCTAGCATCGATGAACTACAGTCTTGTATGCAGGAAACACTAGTGCGACAATATCGCAAAGTTATCCTACCGATAATTACGGTGGAAGGAGGCTGCGTAGGGTTCAACTGAGGACACCACGACCGGTATTAGTCGAAGCGGCGCTGTGGATGAATTATATCGATGACGAACGCTGGCCTTCCCCTACAGACGCTCACGTTATTAGGTATCGAGGGGAAATTCCACTTCTGATCTATGGCGGACAATGAGACATCTTGAAACGTGTTGTCAGGGATGTGAAGAGCACTGGCAACACTGAAAAGAGCAGTCGCAAGGCGATATTTACTCTCGGCGGCTAAGATAATCCTCGTGGAAAAGAGATAAGAGGTTCGAGAAATATGTCATGTTAGTTCTAACATCGCCTGCTACAAAACGATGTTAACGCAAGTCAGTCGTTCTGCGAGGGTCAACTTTTGTTCTTGAAGACTTGAGCCAAATCGAAGAAATTGATGACTTGTGCGTCAGCCTTATCTGTGTCAGTCTTGACTGAGAAAAGCAACTGATGGCTGACTGCACTGAATTGACCCGTCCCATTCTGCCTGCACCAATGATTTTCGAACCACTTAGTCATATAGTAATAAGGCATGTAGGGCGTCTTTAACGCTCGCACAGAACCTCAAAGAAACATGCCCGCGTATGACAAGTTCTATTGGCAACTGGGCCATATTGAAACCGCACCTTGATCGTGAGGTTTTCATGCAGCGCGACCTATGCCCTAAGATACGGGACAGATCGGTGATGTTAATGTGGCATGTCGTGACAGGTGAGGGTAAGGTTCCGTAGTTCTGATTCTTGTTTAATTCGATCATCTAGCGTTGATTCACGGGTTTCTGCCACCGAAACCATGAGCAGGTCAATCTTCCGCCTTTGATCATTCATGAATGCTTTCCTTCGTTTCAAATCACCAATATCTGCAGCTAGAGGTGTGGGGCTTGCATAACAAGACCCACATCTCCTGACTATCGTGTAGATACTGGCTTTCAGCTCATGAGTGGTATGAGTCACCTGCACAGCTGGAAATATGTAAACCCCCTGAAGGTTTCGCACGCAGACCTAGACTGAACGTTTACAGCATGTTGACCAATGCTAATTTGTACGTACATTCATGATCATCGCTCCAAGGGAAGTTTCAGAACATTGCCGGGCACTAGTTACTAATAGTACCATGTTGGATAAAGTGATAGTGATCGGCTGGCGCACAATATCCACTGTTGTGGCAAGAAGTCAGTCAGGGTTAGGTAGTCCCGTGGTACAGAGAGGCACCTATTGATCTCTCGGGCAATCAGCCAAACAAAACAAGCATTGGAAAATAAACTTACCAATGCGCATCAACGCTCATGTGTACAGACTCCGAAGTTGGAACCTAGACATACTTACGATAAATAAGTGGTCCCCGTGAATATATCATGGGCTACATCTAGCATGGGTCTTCAACTCGAAAGGACAACAAATATGAATTTTCCTTTGAAAAAAAAATGCCCACTAAGTCATGCGTCGGAATGCTGAGTAGACACAACTGCAGTGACCGATCTATACAAGTCTAACATGAGATAAGTAGAGGCGACTTACTGAAAAATTCGAGCTTACATAATAGTAGGAATGTACCTTGAAACCTCAAGCTAAAAATGATATCCATAATAAATCGATTGGCGATCGATCAGCTCTCTGTTTGTTTAACTAGCACAGTAATATGATCTGATCCTAAGAAGTCCAGAACATCAATGACAGGACGTTCATAGAAGGAGCAGAGCCGTAGTTGTGGACAACAAATTTCTGGGTTCACGGCTACCGTAAGCACTCAGTGGTGCGACGTACTGCAATCTGTCTGTCAGCACGAAGACATCCGTCACTGCACAAATACTAAGTGTCAGATTGAGATGTGCACAAAAGGAGGCGCGTACGATTTGACAGCAGTCGCATGTGCCCAAGATATGTTGTGATCGAGTAAATAAAAGTTTTATGGAGATTGGTTTTCTTATTCGAGGCTCCGTGACTCTTTCTTTGGACAGTGGTAGTGTTTTAGTTGATTTCACGCAACCTTGACCGAAAGAAATGGCTCAAGTAAGGGTACACGAGATAGGTCGACCTAGCTTGTCCTCGATTATCGTTGGAAGCTGTGAACCTGTTACCTGGCATTGCACGTTTCATACTAATGTGAAGGTGGAAAACAGATGCGTCACAGTGGCAGCACAGCCTGAGCCTTCTACGTGGGAGTTTTCATCACACAAGTAGCTGGGAGAATGATGTATCATTTACTCGTACCTGATGGCCGTAAAAGATGAAGTGCTGAGCCAGTGAGCCTAGGCCCTACAGTACGTGAAACTCAAACCAAAAGCAGACTCGGAGTGGTGCCTTAGTAATACGAAGGTGAATCGTTCAACCAAGGTCAAAATATGTAAAAACATGTTTTGAACGTGTCCTTGATCTTGCACTAAGGTCCCTGCATTTGTTTTCCTTCGTAAGTTTTGGACCAACCATGCCTAGGTCATCATACACCATAATTCACCGTGACTCATTATGAGCTGCTGTATCTTAGGCAAATTCAGGTCAACTCAAGTCGTAATTTGTTTTTGTCCAGTAGTGACCCCCAAAAAGTTCATACAAACAACGCAAAGCAATGTGAGTCTGACTACAATTTGTTTTTCATAATCTGCCCTATTTCACCCTATCGACAAACGTTACAAACTGAAAATAAACAGATCCCATCGTACCACGGCGCCATAGCGGGTTTTCATCGGGAGGCCCCAATATTCAATCCCCAGCTTGTAATCTAAAGTATCCTTTTTTCGATCTATATCGACACGTATTTACCTCTTTCTCACTGGGAACAGATTTAACTTAGGGTGTCGTTGACAACAGCCTACATGCAACGCAGTGATGAGGTACCAAAGCGCCATCACTCGGATGGGCTTTCCCAGTCATCCGCCACATCAAATGGCGGGCCTACCTGTCGTGAGCGCTCCCATACCGCGATCCACTCAGGACCACTCTTCTCCACTCCTACCTCCATCTGTTCCCTGCTTAAAATGTTGGGAATGTCATTTGGGTCGTATGGCTTCGTCTGTGAGATCAGTTCTACTCTAGTGCCAGCCAGCATTCTGGATGCCCATGTGGGGCATAATCACCATAAACGTAGGCTCTCAAACAGAACAAAAGCGTACAGAAAGGGCCTAGTCAAACATCTACTCGATAGCCACGGACTCGTAGCAACAACACCCTGTCCTAACCCCACCGGCGACCTATCTGGCCCCATCCCGGGCCTTCAGCCACTATGGGCAGCAATCTGTCCGCACCCTGGCTGCGCTTCTTGGTCGTTGATGCAGATCTCGAGAGGTTCTCTCAAGTCTCAGCAAGCGAATGCTAGACGTCACGTCTCCTCGGTTCATCCTGAGCACGCAGCCACTTATCTAGCTGATGTTTTCGAAACTCGATGGATTTATCGTCCATTCCAAACATCTCTGGACGCAAGAGACCCGCTGGTTTTGACTGTCTGGCCTTTTGCCGAAGGGTATACTCCACCGCTTGCTGTAGAAGGCATACAGAAATTCTCTCTCTTGCAACCCTCCTCTCACTTTGCGCCAACAACTCATCTCTCCACCCAATATCTGATCGGCCTCCGGTGGCCCGCCTTCATTGCTAGCTTGGGTGCACAAGCAGACTCCCTTCGTGAGCTGATGAGGCTTAGGTCTAAGAAGGAAGCACGATCCTTGACCGGAGTGGAAAGGCAACTTGAACTTGGCCTCATCACCGTTCGAAAGCTTTACAGGTCATATCTAGTTGACATCCAGGTTTATCTATCTTCCAAAGGGGATGTGCAGTTCCGTCAAGCAGTAACGATGAAGTGAGTACTCTTCATCTTTGTTTGTGCATAGCTCATGGACTCCTCAGCACCAAGGCGCACTTCAGATCATTGAGACGAGCTTCCTACTACACCTACTCCAGACCTCTGTCTCGCTGTGTCTGTATGCTGATGAGATGGATCCACGCAGAGTACACAGGAAATTTGGCATCATTCGGCACTCTTCACATCAGACGGAGTCTGGCCCAGGAGTACGCCGCCAATATGCTCTACCACTACCTCATTCAAACCAAGATTCCCCGTCCTGCTGCGCTTCTCCAACTTCTGCATCAACTGCTCGTGACCCTCGTCAAGCAGAAGTTTACGAACCTGCAAACGATGGCATGCCCGACAGACTACGCCCTGTGCATGGGCTCACTGGCCGATAATGGCGGCTTTCTACTTGCTGCCGCTACCACCAAGACGTGTGCTGTGCTGCAGCACAACTTTTATACCATCATCATTCACTCTGCTCGGCTTGAGGACAACGCCCATCAACGTTTCGTTCCCTTTAATTTAGATAATTTCACCAGTGATCCTGTACCGGATACAGGTGAACCGTCTCAGCCCGTGGAGGAGCCAGCCCCTGCTTTGTATGAGGAAGAGGGCGCCGACGATAGTTTGGTTGTGCAATTACAGGAAGTCGAGGAAGATTTTGTAGATGGTCATGATGATGATATAGATCCGGAAGAGGGAGATCCTATGCTATCGTATGAAGCCAAAGGCGAATGGGACTTTGAAGAAGAAGAAACCTTTCACTCTTACTATCTAAACGGCGACACTGCAGAGAACCTAGGTGAGGCACAAAACAGGGGCGACATACAGTACGCTAATCATATTCAGACACATACTATGACCCGCAATCCTCTCTTCCAGCTCAAAGATGCCCAGCAAGAATTATATCCGGAAACGATCGAGGTCTTGGATCGTCGTCTGTCTTAAAGTAAGCTAGCAAGTTAGTTTATGGTGGTTATTTCGCTTACCTACATAACCTACAGCATTTTGGCGGAGAACCTAACCTACCTTCAACCTTTGCTCGCCAGTCATCCCTCGTTTGCTACACCATACAATCAAATTAAAACTGTCTGGTTTGCCGCAAGGCCAACAGCATTCAAAGAGCAGAGAAACTACGGTTTTATCTTTGCTGAAGACGGTACTGCCATTACCATGCGAGACGGTGATGACATCTCCCAGAGTATCCTGTTTTCAGATCTTGGGAGATTGGCGAAGGCTGCGATATCAGATGTATCGGAGCAGATAATGAAATGCTTACCAGATGGTTGCCAGAGCCTTCTTCAACAGTTTTATGGCATTTTCAGCCAGTTAGTGGACGACCTCAGTAGTCCTGACGCTATTTTCCTTCAGCCTTCCAACCGCATTCTTCTACAGCCACTGTTGGACGTGATGTTGCAACGTCTGGTGGATCCAGAAGAACCCAAACACCATATCACGGGTTCTTCCTCTTCGATCAATGAGGAGTGCGCGAGACAGTGGCTGGATTTCAATGAACGAATTCTTGGTCAAATTATCGTCGCCTTTCTCCTGACATGCGGTATTCCTCCTCGTCACTGGCAATTTCGATCCTTACTGTTCCAGTCGGATAGCAGCACCGGTGGTGTTCGTAATCTCTATCTACTAGGTTCGGAGCTTGTTATAGGGAATCCGGAGGCAAAGCAAATCAACCAAGTCACACGAGAGTGCATGTGGGCATTCCCTCCTAGCCTTGCCCCACTCATCTCTTTCTATCTGGCTATAGTACGACCTTCTGTAATTCGCATCTCAGGTCTTATTCATCACGTCAACCAAGCTCATAGGACGCACATATTTTCTCATACATTCACCGCGACTCGACTTGAATACCCTCACGTTTGGAATGGTAGTGATGTTAATGCTGCGCTGTGGGCACACACGTCCTCCCTCAACGTTCGGTTAACATGCAGTCTTTTACGAAATGCAGTCACAGCAATGTACCATCAGTTCTTTCCCGCTCTCTCGCAATCTGAATCCGTAGGCGTTCAACCGGTTCAAAAGGCAGGCAGCAATCGCCGTCCACCTTCAGATCATGTTCCCCCAGCTTTAGGGATGTCGTTCGAACAGGCTCGCAAATACATATCCTCTAGCCATGCCTTGCAGGCGTTGTATGGGCTACGATGTCCTGACAATAACCTAGCAGACCGGAATTCAGCCATTCTGGGCAACCTGAAGCATGCAAGCCTTGCTTTGAAGGAAGCGAGGCTTTGCGTCCGAGAAGAATATGACTTATATAATGCCCACTTGCCTGCTATGTCAGGGAAGGCAGCTAGCATCTTAGATGCTGCGCCATACATATGTCTCAAAGAGGTCAGCAAGGAGCCCCGACCATCGTGTCAGTTCTCATATAACCTTACTCAGGACATGATTGGTGATGAGGTGCTTCGGCGCATATTACATGTGGTTTTATTTGGTGATTCCAAACCGTCTGTTTTTGATCGACCTCCTCCGGGAGGATACCTGATTACTGATGTATCACGCGCAGTGGTTCAGGTGAGAGTTGAACTTATTCGCCCCTTTCATAAGACTCAGGTGGCCCCCAAGATCATACAAGCCATTGAGGAGCAAGAGCACGGGTTCGAGTATGATTTGACTCGACAAACAGATGTTGATGCCATCATCCACTTCGATGAAGTAGAGAAGAAAGCGCAACTATTTCTAGCAACACTAAAAGATGAGAATCCTAAGTCGTGGACTCAGCTATGCTCCGAAGTCCATCAGCTCTATCAGAAGGCACCAGGCGCAGATGGAGAAAGGAGTTGGGTAGTGAGAGGCATTCCTGGATAAATGTTTTATTGTACGACTTTACTTCGTGCTGAGATATATGGTAATGCAGGGCATTCATGAATGTGTGAAATTCTTGGATGTCAATCAGCCGTCTGAGCGGACACGCTACTTTTACTTTCCCTTGTCCGTGGAACTATGGCGCTGGATTCGTTCAACTATTCAAACTCTTATGGAGACGGCCGTAGAGCCGCATTGCTCAATATTCCTCTCTCTTCAGCAACCTTAGACGCCGTCCTTGGTCGAACCCGTGACATTGACACGATCATGCGCAAGCTGGTTTATTTCGCTATCCTAATCCAACATTGCTTCGCTTCTGATGGCTCTGCAATGGGGCTCATTCATCCTCGTGTGCTTACCATTTCTCAGAGAGAAATCATCATTCGCAATGGTTTAGGTGATCGAGAGCCAGCGGTTCACCAGGCTGCAGCTTTATGACTCAGCAAATGGGTGGACGTTGCTCGTGAAGATGTCAAGAACAAAGAAAGCCAGACCGTCGAAGATAATGTTCTCGCACTTTTAAGCCTCTCTGATCTTACGGAGAGCACGGTTGCAGAGGATGCGCTGCTGAGTGTTTTGGATAGACGCGCTGATATTTCGGACCACGTCGAGTTTAATGGTATGTTCCGTTGCAGAATCTCGGTCGGATGAGCTAATTGGAACATCCACAGATGCCTATTGGGCCAACCTGACCCCAGAGCGAGCTTTTTTCGCTCGCGTCTTTGTTGACCATTGCATTGCCATTAAAAACTAGATGCTTTTCTCCCGGTTGTCACTGCCCTTGCCTACCGCATCCAAGCTGCCTACAATGCATACCAAGAAGACTTGGAGGTCGCCGAGCAAGAGAGAGTCATTCGTGGCGAACCAACTGAGGAAGAAGAGGAGGCTCGCATTGACAAGGAATTTGTCATAGGCGAGATGTTCAAGGTTGCTGTGAATCTAGACTACGCTGATGAGATTGGGCGCCAGAAAATGTTCCAGCTTATGAGAGACATGATCTCTCAGGAAGTACTACCCGAATCACTTGTCGCTAGATGTTTGGACGTATTACGGATACTATCACCAAACGAGAGGGATCTTATTCAAGTTGTTGTAGAAGTAGTCCACGAGCTTAGGGATGTCAGCGACGAAGAAGAAGCTCTAGTGAGTTGGACACCTCATTGTTCGCATGTGATGACGTTAGTTTTGCTAGAAGGAGCCTGCAGATGATGGAGAGACCAATTTTGGCGAAATACCCATGCCAACTCATACAGCACCCAAAGGACCAAAGCCATCAGAAGATATGTCTTCCGAGGAACGAGCTCGTATGGACGCGATTGATTTGCGTTGTCTGTCACTTTGTATAGGGATGCTGGAGCGTGTTAACGGAGTGCGTCATAGCTCATGTTCAATTTCCTAATCACTCACTGTTGCTCAGACATTTGAAGAAAATTCGACGCTCGAAGGCATCCTTGGCGAGTTAATCATCACTGCCGTCAAGCGTAAGGAATTGGTACTTCGTGAAAAGGGTCTCATCTGTTTAGGTCTTTGCTGTCTTATTGCTTGAGTATGCTCATGTTGCCCACCATGTGGTTTTGAAACTGATTAATTTCATAGCGCATGGCCCTCAACTCTTTCTAGCTTTTTTTGGGTCGAATTCAGACTGCCCAGGAAGTCTTGAGGATCCGTATGCTGCAGATTGTCTTCGACATTCTTATGGTGCACGAAAACGACTTCTTGGAACAAGAGGGTAGTACAGTGGATAACAACAGCTTCAACCTTATTTCAATGCTCACGCTTCTACAAAGAGAGCGTATAATCGAATTCTTCTTGCAAGTCCTGGAAACCGAGAAATCGGACAAGGTGCAAGGCGACCTGTGTATCGGCCTTTCAAAGCTTGTCCTTTCCGGAATGATCCCCGAAGACAAGGTTGGTGCCGATAAATTGTTGCACGATATCAGGAGGTGGCGCTTCTTCAGGTCCTGCAAAGCCTGGTTGGTGCACATCTTGCCCCGGACACGATCGACAACCAAGAAGTCCGCCAGTGCCTTGCCTATTTCTTCCCCGTCTACTGCTACTCCTCTGCAGTCAACCAGCGACGAATGCAACCGCTGTTTATTGGATTATTCGAGCAACTTGCCCCAGAAACCCGAAATGTTGACGAAACCCAGGATATGGTCAGTCCTGCTCAAATAGCAGCTATGTTCGTGGATTGGACCGATCCACAGAAAGCTATGTGAGGCAATGTTATTTGTTTTGAGAGTGTTAGTCAAAATAATGCAGCGATGTGCAAGATCAACTAACAAACGAGACAATTCATATTGACCTGGCAAGTGATATCGCAAGAGCACTGTTCGACGACAAGATAAGTATGTCAATAACTAATTGATAGGTAGCGGCGGCCATCCGCTTTAGCCCTATACCGGACGGGAAATAGATTTAGAGCAGATTCTCGATGTGAATGGCAGTGCTGACACGAGGTGCTCTGGAGAACGATGCCGCCAAAGACTTGAACCGCTGTACGTCCTGCCACTGTACATTCAACAAGAGATGTTTGAATGCGGGATGGCTCTGGTTGCACACGATATCTCACATTCAGCAACTTGTGCGCAAGTCAAGCTTTACAGATGGAAGTTCATGATTGGTTACGGAGAGAAAGTTTTCAAATAATCTAAAGGATATATTGATTGATCAATCACCTATCAATAAAATACTGCTTCAAGTCGACACAGATATCATAACAAGATCGACGATATGACCGAAGTACTTGAGACATTCAAAAACCCACTAGCAGCAGACACAGGACTTTCTGCCTCCATGTTCCCCAGGGTCTGTATGTACTGCTACTGCTTGTTGGTGTGGTTGCTGTTGCTGTTGCATATCAGGGTCCGGTTCGGTAGTATCGAGATATTCATCAGGTACGATGTCCGGGTCTGGGCCAGGAGCACCTGCAGCAGCATTATGCTGTAGATATACGCATCAGACAACCAGGATATGCTGATAAGAATCGACCTGACCCACCTCTTTAGCCTTCGTGAATGGAACATCGACAACGGGCAGCGTTGCATGATGGGGTGACCAGGAGAATATGTGCCGTAGATGAGTTTTGATGGTGGTGGTGACAGCGACTGGTGGTGAGGTGGTGGGTGGTGCAGGAGCAGGAGCTTCCTGGGGCCTCCTCATCATAGTGAGCCTGAATCTTTTGAGGCGCCCAGAGCGTTGTTGAATTCTTGGCCTGGAAATCTGAGAATGCTGTGATGAACTACGAGCGAGAGAACAGAATGACACGCTTGTGCACACACTCGATGCATTCCATAGAAGAAATTGGGATCTGCATCATAGCCATTGTGATCTTGCCCGGGGATCTCTGCCTGCATAACAGTCAGTCATCAGTGAACCGGTGAGGAAAGTAGAAGACCATATATAACATTATATAGTACATAATCACAAAAATTGGCATAATTCTGCTATCGGCAATCACATTGTTAGATTTGGCCTTGTAGAGGAAAGGAGATTCGCTGATTTTCCTACAAAATTTGATGATCGGGAAAAGGCCCTGATTTTACTCAAACTCACAGTCAAAGTGAAAGTGTGGCAAACGTCGACGGTTGAGCTAGATTAATAAGAATGCCATAACAGAAGGGAGGCTCACAACCACGAAGCTACGAGTGAAGGTCAATACTTCCCGATCGATGAGTATGTGTTGGCCCGTGCGGGTGACAGTAAGTTTCACAACCAGATTCGAATATTAACATCACCGTGAGAAGTGCCTAGCATCAGAAGGGAGGTTCAAAACTGCGAAGCTACGAGTGAAGGTCAATACTTCCCGGTCGACGAGTATGTGTTGGCCCGTGCGGGCGACAGTAAGTTTCACGACCGGATTCGAATATTAACATCACCGTGAGAAGTGCCTAGCATCAGAAGGGAGGTTCAAAACTGCGAAGCTACGAGTGAAGGTCAATACTTCCCGGTTGACGAGTATGTGTTGGCCCCATCAGAGAAAACCTCCTTCACAAAATGGCTCAAAAAAGAAGGAATTTCAGGGAATCTGTTAAACTACATGTATTTCGAGAGTATTTCAACGAATCTGTTAAATTACATGTATTTTGAGAGTATTTCAACGAATCTCGTTATATTCCTCAAACAATAGTTAAATAAGCGTGTCGGTCACTAAACGAGTTTACAGAGAAGCTGGGACAGAGCTCCAGAACGGTACTGCTCGTCCATTCACGAGGTACTACTGCGCCGAAATTTGGAAAAAGATGAACACTCCTGCGGATGTCCGATACATCGATAATGCTTGCAAGACGCTCTCCATGACGCATCAGACGGCAAATTTTGTACAGCCCATGGTGGGATTCAGGTTGCTGGAAGGGTGTGAACCATTCCACATACGCAAGGTGGGCGGGTGGTTTTAGAGGTCCAGCAGGGAATAACAAATTTGTAGCTTGACTTGTCAGCGTGAAGACGACGCGAACTTGCGCAACACGGTATCCTTTTTGGAATAAAGTCAGATTAATTCTGACAGTAGAGAAACAGGCAAGAAACAGGCGTAGATAAAGAGACGAAGGTATCCGAACAGCATGCGTAAAGAGACAAAGGTATCCAAATAGGTGAATGTAAGGCTTATGGAAACTCTAGGTCTAGTCTACGTAGAGTCCACTCTGGGTCCTGTCTGGGTCCTGTCTGGGGGTGTGCCAGCCGCCCGGCCAGATTAAAGCGGAGTTTAATTCCAAATCAGGACGATGTGACTGAGCTTCAAGTTGTAATTTAGCTCACCCCGCCCTCATCTTGATGACGCCCGCCGCCCCACCCTCTTGCCCGCCGCCCAGGGATCCGCATGGGTATAGGTAACCCGTGCAGGTCACAAACAAACTTACAAGCTTCAAAATGGCAGCGGACTGCGAACCTTGCAGTTTTTTTCAGTCCTTCCTCCCGTTTGCCCCCTCATCAGCATGCCTCCCAGAGCATCTCTAACGCCGTCAGAAATAGCCGCCCACAAGCGGAACAGCAAAACAAAGGCCAAGGCGAGTCAAGAATCTGGTGGTGAAAATCAAGGCGATACAGATAGTAAGTAGTACATGAAAGAAAATTGTGAGGGACTCACAATCATCAAGAACCATTGCAACGGTCGTCGAAGATAAAGGCCTTAGAGCAGAAAGGTTAGCACTTGCACAGTTAGAAAGCAGTTACTAAAACGCACCTGATTTCAGTTTGGAATGAGACAATGGCCAACAGTCGTAAGCGCGCACCCACAGTAACTGGACTGCAATCAGCACCTGCAGCCAAATTAGCACGGAAAATACCTGCAAAAAAGAACTATGGTAGGCACCGGCTGTGATACTGTTTCAAACTCTGTATACTGACTACATAACATTCTCCACAGATTTATGCGATATTGAAGGATTGGAGTAGCAGCAACCCACCTTCAAATGCGCAAGTCAAATCATTCAATGCCTCCTCCCACGTCGGTGTTTACAAGGCTCACCAAGCGACTCTCAACCGCATCTTCAATGGTAGTATAAAGAAGTACCATACACTGATGGCACGGCTTTACAAGGCAGTCAGGTGCGTCTTGCTTGCGCCATTCTTCATTGTTGGGCACTCTGACTAACTCAACACCAGTGCAATCGAGAACTCGGCGTCCACTGCCTCATCAAGCACTTGCGACTATCAGGTGCATCTTGCTTGCACCATTCTTCATTGTTGGGCACTCTGACTAACTCAACACCAGTGCAATCGAGAACTCAGCGTCCACTGCCTCATCAAGCACTTGCGACTATCTCGATCTCGATGCAATGGTCGAAGAATAAATCAAGCTATGAATATGGCACCGAGTCAGTTGCTTCTCAGTTTGCTGATATTTTCTTTTCTTTTCACATCTTTTGATTGTGATATTTCGTTTTAATCAATGTTCATGTATGTCGACTTCAACCGAATTCAAAATAATTTGATGGTATTCGAGGAATAATGACTGAAAACTCAAAGAAATTCGAAGAAATTCGAAGTAATTCGAAGTAACTACGACCGAGCTTGAGAAATCTGGTCGTACTCGATTTCACTGGATTTCACTGAAATTACGAGGAATTCTCCAAAAAATTCTGAAATTACCTTGTTTTTGTGAAGGAGCTTTTTCCCGATGCCGTGCGGCCGACAGTAAGTTTCACAACCGGGTTCGAATATTAACGTCACCGTGAGAAGTGCCTAGCATCAGAAGGGAGGTTCAAAACTGCGAAGCTACGAGTGAAGGTCAATACTTCCCGGTCGACGAGTATGTGTTGGGCCCGTGCGGCCGACAGTAAGTTTCACGACCTGATTCGAACTTCGACATCATCGTGCAAAATGCTAACATTAGAACGCAAGTGTGGGATCAAAAAGAGACAGAGATGTTACTCAAACTCGAACTTAAAGGAAAGGTGGGGTAGAATCTAATGGTGGTCTCAGAGACATGGCAATTAGCAACTTCAGTGAACATTTTCACCCTTTCAAAGCTAAGAGTGAACGTTAGCAACTTGCAAAGACAAGTAACGTGCCCACCCGGTGAGCGAGAGTGAGTTAAATCCTGCGATGGTAATAGTCAAGCTAAAGGAATCAGAATTATTAGTTCAGGAGTGATGTTCGCTATTACGACGCCTGAAAGTGAAAGTCAGTATCTTCCCAAGAAAGGCAACTTATCCAACAAGTGAGCGAGAGTAAATATACGTGCCACTCTGAATCTTAACGCTATTGGCTTGAGATGCTTGATATCCAGCAGTTGTAGGACAATTTTCCCACTAACGATAGAAGACAGTATCTTCCTGAGAACGGCGACCTGTCCAACAAGTGAGCGAGAACAAATGGACGTGCTACTTTGAATTTCGACACTGTATTTTACAAGACACCTAATGAATGTCAGCTATACTTCAATTGGGAATCCATGTGAAAAAGATTTGTCTTTGCCGGTATAGATGGGATCGTGTGATGAGTGAATTCACCAGAAACATATGCTAATTACCAATTTGGAGCTCAGATTTTACTATCAGTGATTGGACTAAGAACCACAGACATTGTCATGAGCGCATTGTATTTCCTGTATCCTTCGTGAGTGAGCTCACCAAAAATATACGAACTAATAACCAATTCAGAGCTGATATTTTGCTCTCAGCGATTGGACTAGAAACTGCAGATGTTGTCATGGTTGCGTTGTGTTTCCCGTATTCAACCTTTTCAAATCAATTATGTGGATGAACGATTCAGGGCGTAACCCGTGCTATCGGTGAAATGAGTAGAAGCTGTAGACATTGTCGTAGTCGCTTTGTATTTCATGCATTCGGCCTGTTCAAATCAAGCAGGTGGATGCACACTTTGAGGCTAAACTGATGCTACTAGCGAAAAAACCAAAAACTGCGGACATTACCATGATTGATTTGTATTTCCTGCTTCCAGCCTTCTAACACTAAGCAGGCGGATCAAAGGTCCTTGTCATGCATGTTACATTGTTGCAAATGATATTCATGAGGCCTGAAGTTACCACTGATAAGATGGTGTATCACATCAGACAAGATTTCATTAGATCATTATGATGTTAAAAGTAAACTACGCGGTAAAATGACTCGTCGAGGCCAGTGATTGCTTGAAATAGTGTGATATATTGACTACCTAAGGTGAATCGAAAGCGGCATCGTCACATTGTGCCCTCTGCCTCGTGAGAGCGTTCACTGACATGTTGGCCTTTGCCATGTCGCTAAGCTCATTACGATGATTTCTTCCGAAGACTTTTCTAAAAACGAGAGTTCAGCTGAGGTTGGTTGGCAACGTAAATGACACACCTGGTCCACCAATCCAGGAGGCGGTTGACTCTGCGCTGCGCTTCTCGACCAGGAGGTCTCTCAAAAAAGTCCACAATTGTCTGCCAGAATTGAATATAATCAAAATCACCATCGACCGATCGCCACGAGGTTACAGATGAAAGCGCGAACTGTACCTACAAGGGTAATGATTATTTATGATTAATCACAAGAAACGTCATAATACAGCAAACTTACTTGACAAGCGATGTACGCAATCAAACGAGGAGTAACCTTGTCCATTTTGATAATTTGCACAACGTGTTTCTTAACTTTGATGGTCGAGAATGCTTTCTTAGCGCGACGGTTGTTCTCAATTGTGTCCGTGCCATCACCGTCACACTCGACATCCTTCGCTGACGAGGGAGACGTGAAGACAGCTTTGTAGGCCTGTAAAATGACATGAGATCATTGTCGGGCAACTCGGGCGTGACGAACCTGCAACAAAATTTTTCCCTTAAAAATACCTTCCTCTAAATTGTCAGGATTGGCAGTGTATTTTTCATATAAAAACACTGGGAAAGAAAGGTCCGTCACGATATAGCCCTCTGATCGGTCCCGAATTCCTGCCCATACACTAGTAAAAAGTCAGAGTTGCGCGAGATGCGAAGTCTACTACATACACTGGGCTGTTCCAATCAAGTTCAGCCGGGCACAGTAACATGCCACATGCCTCATTGATGAACCCACGGCAATGTTTATCGTCGGACTCGACTGGGGGAGTTGGCTTGAGTGCCATATTCACCCAGTCTGAAACGAGAGTCTTCAGTTTTGACGTGTCGTCTCCTCGAGCACCATCGGCCCCTTGCCTAAGCTGAATAAAGTGAGATCACAAAGTTGATCACCGACTCGGATAGCGTCAAAACATACCATTTTCAGCATGCGCATATAGTCATCATGTTCCAGGTCTGTGGCTTTCTTCAGAAACCACGGTAAGGTTCTCACTAAGGTACTATACCCTAACTGAAGCCGATCTTGACTATATAAAGGAACCGATGAGTACATTCGTCATGGAAAACCAAGGGCGAAAACTCACTCGAGAGTAGTGTCCTCATTACTATTGTCATCATATCTTCGGTCGTTTTCAACGACCAGGTCCTCGATACTATTGAACAAAGTGACCATGCGCCATAGCCCTCTTCCTTGAGCTAGGTAGAAATTTGTTTGCCTGTCAGATAGTCAGTGAAATCGACCTAATGCATACAATCATGACGGGCTTCATACCTTTCCTTCATTGTGTGCCCCGACTGCAGAGCCTCTAGCTTTCCCTCGAGTTCAGCAATCTTACGTCTCTGCCGAGCCTGGGCGAATGTTGACTCAGGTTGGGATGGTTCTGGAGATCGGTGAAGGCCGTGGTCGCCACTCTGCTGGTCGTTGGTGTCTACGAGCGACTCGATGCTGCCCTCCAAAACGTGCAACATTGATGAAGAAGAGCTCGGAGGGGAGGGACTGTCCAGAAGGTAGATGAGGAATGAGAGATGCAAGATGGGGGGATGAGACTTAACCAGCACCCATTTTATACTGTTGTCCCTGCTCGATGACTATTTAAGCAAGTCTGGCAAAATAACAGGAACGTGGACTCACCTTGTGAGCTGCTTAAAATGGACAAAGGAATGCCATACATGCCGTGATTCGGCTCCAACTCTCGCCGTAACTTGTTCTCGTCTGATGATTGAACCATGACATATCGACGAAGAATAAACTGTCGGACAGCACTGGATCACACTCAACGTGGGAGAGAAGTAGAACATGGCACCAAATAGAGAGGATGTGCCCATTTGTGAGCAACAGCAGCACATCTGTATATACGACAACTCACACCCAACCAATGACATCACGATAGCCTGTAGCAAGCTATGAGGGTTTGCATTCGAGAAGGACCAAGTACCTACCATCCAAGAAAAAGCCAACCTGGACGACAGATAAGTTTACGCAAGGCAGACGCGACACTGATGGCACTCACCCCAGCGATGCCCAGGAGTTTCACCTCGGCATATGTCAGAATGAAAGGGCCTGCCCTCACCAGATTGCTCATACTCCTCGAGGGCAGCTCTCTGGCGAGTATCATTGCTTCCTGTGGCTTGACCAGACATCCTAGTGCACAGATAGGAAAGGGCTCGATGATGTGCCTACTCGGCCGGGCATTTATTGAGTGTGGCGCTGGCTCAGGCCCAGCATCAACTAAGCTCCAAGGGTCTGTCACAAAATGCAAACGTGAGTGATAAGCGCTGGTGGCAGTATAGTGCCACGTGTCCGAGTCTAACCAATCGATTTCCTCATGAGAAGGTACACTGATAGTGATGTACCACTGGTTTCCATAGTAGGGATTTGGGCGAGCCGGTCGAGGGGCACGGATCACCCACACCTTCTCAAAACCTTGTGCACAGTCGACAGCGGCAATGAGCGCGGGCGTTGAAAGATCAGACCTGGAGATTGGCTCAGATTTTGAAGTTTGGATGGATGCTCGGAATTGATAGGATGCACGGAGATGTGAGTGTGAGCTGCACTGCCACCTATATGAGAGCGTGAATCAGAGAACGTAGACTCAGGATGTGAACATATTGGCAGAAGACAGAGAGAATGATTGACTACAGGGATAAAATATAACACATACAGGTGTCCATATATGACCTTGGTGCAAACGTCGCATGAAACCCGTGTTTTCTTGCGACGTTGGTGATCGTCTCCCGTGTGTGCACGAGCGCATCAGCAGCTTCAAGAGGTGGGAGTGGACCCGTCACGGTCTCGTACTATGTTGCAGAACATCAGTATATAGAAAAAAACCAACGAAAAGTCAGGCAAACCAACCTGCCCCGGCACTGCTTCAGAATGATACATTGTCAGTTCGATTCCGCTCCTGATGAGTCCATGTGCAATCTCCTCAAGAACTTCTGTCTCCTTGGTCCCGGAAGGTAACGCTCGCGTGTGGTTCCATCTGTGTGGATTGATCACCTTGATCGGGTTGGTGCTTTTGAGGAGAATGAATTCAGTCTCAAATCCAACAAGGAACGCGGCATTGTAAGATTTGGCGGTGCTGAATGTTCAAGTGAGTCCACACTCAATGATGTGGTGTTAGAGAGGACGCACTTGACAATACGATTCAGTGCTGATCGTGGACACATGGGCACACCTGTGCCAAGGATGCGGCCTGGAGCAGGGACCTTATCCTGGAACCAACCCATAATACTTACATGACCTGGTGCGTAGGAACACAACCTCATAGATGACAAGTCCACCACAAACAGATACTCCCCTACAGGCCCAAACCCAGCTGCGGACCTGTTAATTAAGAAGCCGAAGACACATTGATCGATGGTTATACTTGTCACATGCACACTAAGTACGGGCCACAGCAAAATAGGTCCTGAGTCACATTGGCAAAATGACGGTCATCACTGATGCCCACGAAGATTGAATAGTAGACCTGGACATAGAAACACTCGGAGTGGCTTCCCGACTGCGGTGTTAGTATTAACAAGGTGAGGAGAAGCAAGATAACTTGCCATTACTGGCTAAAAAGTTACAGTTACATTCTTCCATGACGATGACGAGGGCTGACGTAATAAACTTCGAACAAAGTTGAGCCGGCTCAGCGGCTCTCGGACACAACTCGGGCATACTCGGACTCAGACAATACGCCTGGACTCTGGAGTCTGTCACAGACTTGCCGGGCCCAGACTGTCTATTTCACGGAGCATTATCGAAGGTGCGCGCGCCCGAGGACACGAGGAGCCACTATGGTTTATCTTGAGAAACGAACGAAGGACAAGATTGTGCTAACAATGTATTTTCTAAGTTGCTACTGTAAATACAATCATGTATCGTTGAAAAGCCGACCCAAAGAGCGTTCTCATGTCAAAAATAGGCGGTAGCCTCCATCTGCGAAACCTTCAGAACTTGAGTGCTGATCAAGTTCATCATCTAATGTGAACGGCGCCTGTGAGAAATCAAAGAATTCGTCACTAAAATTATATGGTAGTTCCAAGTCTACGTCCACCAATTTGGACGGCACACTAAAGTCGGTACCAGTGAAGGGGAAAACAGCCTCAGACAGGTGCGCTGCTGCCGACATTTGCGGGTGCACAGGCGAAGGTGGGGCAATATCAGCTCATGGAAAAGTTAACTCCTCAAGGGAGAAAGGGACATAAACAGATATGGAGTAGTCTGGCATCGAAGGATCGCGATGTGTCGCCATCGCCAATTCTTCACTGATTTGCGGGAACAGCAATCCAGTGGCCAGTGCGTGTTGCAGGACCTCAGATACTATTTGCAGATACTCCTCCGTTGGAGGATCGCTTATCGCTTTCATGGGTGCTTCCAGGCCCATTGCGCCACGGAGGACACCCCTGGAAAAGTGTGAACATAAACTCTGATTCAACGTAGCAAAGATTACTCACATGCCTCTTTGGTGTACACCTAGCATATGTGCTTCCATTGCAGGCCCGTGAGTGGGAGACCCCAATGCCAGCAACATTGCTTCATTGACCGCATCCTGCTCATTGGCATATGGGTCTGTCGAGAAGGGGAGGGGTTTTCCCGACGCTGTCGTCTTTCCACTTACAGCACGTCGGATTGCCAGCCTGACCTGAAAATCGTACATTAACATATGGACACTGAAATTATAGTCAGCGACTTACAGAAGCCGCTGATTCTGAAAACATCTGAGTCGGAGTGGTGTTGATCTTGAGCCTCATATCCTCATCTCGGAGTGGCGTATCTTTGTCGGCGTACCAGTGTGTTATATGACTGCTCTCCACCACAGGATTTGCGAATAGAACGACGAAAACAGACACATCGGTGAGTTCGTGGCCGTGAAGATAATAAGTGAAGGGTGAAGCTGAATCGAACAATTCAGTTTGGTGATGATTTTTGAAAACTTGGCGGTCCTGGTCCGACAAATTGGTGTCTGTGGGTGGTTGGATATTGTAAGAATCAATAAGATTCTCCGAAGTTTTCGAGAGCCGTCGACGATTAAGCAAGAGGGCCTTGTTGACGCTATCTGCCACACTGTCAGACATTTCTAACTCTGGTGTTTGCAGATCATGATTAGTCCTGTCACAATCCATAGAAGGAGGGAAGTACGTACCACACCCGAACTTTATGTTGGCCTGGTTAATGATTTCCAAGATATAGATTTTCATGGCCTTTTTTTCTGTTGAAGTGATGTTTCGAAGCCAGCCTGTAGTCATAACAGAGTTAAGAATGATGCGCCTTTTCACCCATGTGAGGGCGACTTGTTCAGTTGGACTGTACAGCTTCTTTGCAGAGTCCGTGCCTCCCGAATGAGCGCCAGCATCAGTCGATATGATGCTAGTCGATGCGGAATCAGAGTTCCTTGAACTTGAAGCACCATGGGCGCTAGTAGCACCGCGATTGTAAGGGAAAATGCGATGTGATAAACCAGGGACGGGTGGCCGCGCAGCCGACTGTCGTCTAGTACAGCTTGTAGGATCATTTGGGTTGTATGGGAAAGTTTGGAATGACATGGTGGTGGGGAAGACTCAGAAGAAGGCGAATTAAATAATGGGATGTCACTCACTTAGATCAGCCTGAGTATCCCAGTCGGTAAACTACAATTGAAAAATAAATAGTCGCATTATCCGAGTCATAAGGTCATGATCGATGATAACGGTCGAAGACAAAAAAGCTCCATGAAGTTAAGCTGAGGCGTGATGCTTCCAGCCAGCTTGGGCACTTCGCTCATATCACTGAGTGGACCTCGTGTAAACTTACCAGAAACCTGGCTATAGGGGAATGATGTTAGGGCATGGACATGTAAAAAACTAGGCACGATTGACGGTAATTAGTACTACCAGTCGCGCGCGTAACATAAATTTACGCACTCGCCTTCATCGTGACTCAATAACAATGCCAGTGACCATGACTTGATGGTACTAGGACCATGATCTCCCCCCGATCTCCGAATCATACTATCTCCAATGAAGCTCGTCTGGTATAAAATGAACCGGGGCTTCCGAATCTGTGGTATTCAATAGATTTTTAAATTAATCGTTCAATTAACTCACTGAAGGTTTATACCATGAACGGTCGATATAGTGCACCATCTTCGGTCAGGTAGAGTGATGACAGGATCAGACCTGTGATTGACTCAGAAGGGCAGGTCCCACGAGCAATTGTTCCATATATGGCAGCTCACATTCAACAATGTTGTGCAATTGGTTACTCTTCTTCGAACCCTCAAGGCCTTACACCTGAGACACAGCCTTCGAAATAAAAGTCCAAGACAGATCAGTGCCCTAATTTTGGGGACATAAATCAACATTGAGGGAGGCCGCTGTCGGACCGCTGCTTTGTTTTCACGCATATAATTTTATAAGTGTTAGCAGATGTTATATAAGCAACTCACACCCCTATCGTATACACCTTCCAGCCTAAACTCACATCTCTTAATACATAATTCTTGGCTCAGTCATGTCTCGTCATATTTTATGAATATTATGCATATTGGACTGGAAATATATTATTTTGATTTGCCTCGTAAATTACAAGATAAACATGCGCCGTCAGGTCAAGTTTATGAAAAGGGAGACCGTGACTTGTCACAGTAGGAAGACTGTGATAAGGTTTAGGTAAGTACTGACTTGCCGGAATAGTAGTTTTGTTTAAATTTCGTGCTTCATGCATCATGATCCAAAACGAGGTAAAGGCAAGGTTGCTGTGCCGAAGATTTGGTTAGGGTTCGTTTGTTCTTCAGACGACTCAAAGAATTACTGCTTCTTTGACGTCAACGCTTAAATCATCTTGGTGCTATTCGCAAGCTATGCGTAAATACATATTTTCACTAACATGTGGCAACAGCGAAAGCGGACAGCGGCGAGGCTCCCTGATGATCTGATGATCAGCTACCTCATTCATATTAATGTCTCGCGATATGTATTGTAGCCTTGCTTCTGTGAATCCGTACCAATTGCTCAATATTTTAAAACTAATAACTACATCTAAAAAGACATACACGATCATGGCAAATACAAGATTATTCTTCCAAATCTGATGTACATGCTGAACTGTGAAGGGATTTAGAGACCATTGGAGCCGGCCCAGGTCCATCCGACTCATCAGAGGAACTTTCACACCATGGCCCAATATCGCTAGGCTCAGATCTACAACCTTTGTTTCCTATCGCCATAACTCCTGCATCCTGAAGTATGTTGCGGAGAGAACCTATTTGTACATCAAAACCCTTCATCTGTGTTTGTGCCAAGTCTTGTTCGTCTTCAAGAATGGACTTTATGAGATCTAGCTCGCGGGAGCAAAGGCGCTGGTACCGCATTCTTGTGGCGATAGCCCGACGAGTGATACGTGACAGTTCGAGCATGCATTCATTAAGATAGTTTGTAGCTTCTGAGGACGGTTCAGGAGTAGAGTTCCACTTTGAAAGAAAATATGAACATTTGGACATCTGAAGTTGCAATAAACATACCGTAGTTTGAAGAGTTTTGAGTCTCTTTGTAGGTGGGCGGCAATCCTCATCACGGAGGCCACCTCGAAATAAACTATACTGGATGGGGCGCTTGTGACGACCACTGTCACCCACGCTCTTCATTAGCACTACAGTGCTAAACTCATCAATTTGAAGGGTAGGATCATCAACAGGAGTCTTCGAGCGTAACAGAATAGGAGAGCTACTAGGTGCAATGGATGTGGGAGGTGTGGATGCAGACCTGTAAAATACAGTGAGTGAAGGTGCAGTTTTTGTCCTTATGCGAACAAACCTAGGTTTATTGAACCCACCTCTTGATTCTGATGAGCTGCTCGTCGCAAATGCTGGCTAAAATGGTCTATTGGGTTGTTGAAACTCCAACCAAGGGAGAGGGATTGAACAGTCAGCAACACCCGAAACGCAGACTTCTTCCGTGAGAAGCAGAATTTCATTATTCGCAAGTCAAGTGCTAAGTCACTATGTAATACCAAATATATTCGAGTACTCAGCTATTACAAGAGTCCTAGCCAGGAAAGGGTACATTCATCAAAATGACTCCTCGAAAGTTAGGCTCAGCCAAGCAAAAGTAGAGGCCTTGAAAGTGCGGGACTTGTCTATCTACTGCTATGCGATCATGTTTGAAGGAAGGATAATAGGCTACGTCAAAGTCATTCAATGACAACTTTGCAATTGGCATCGGAATTGATCAACTTTGAGAAGGTTGGACCGGTCAGGCCCTCTGAGAATGGTGCAATGCACTGCGAACACGATGGTGATCAGTCTTCTCGCTCGATCTTACCAATAACCAATCAATGATCATATTAAGGGAATAGTACCCACGGTGAGTCACGAGTCATCGCTTGGGATGGGAACTCACTGGCATGTTCATCTAGAGGAAGTCACTAGTCACCTATAGTCAGCTGCAATAGTATCGGCCTCAGATCATAATGAAATACGTGCGTTTTCAGTTTTAGGAAGTTCAAGTTGATGTGGAGGTTCGAGTTGGGTATCGTTCCCCAGGAAACACAATGACTGCATGAATATGAGTCTAAGGCTGACTCAGAAGTGGCGCAACTTGGACGCTGGCCTGGGCAACTTGCAGATTCGGAATGTCATAGCCTGAGTGTTACCGAATTGTATTACCGTAACCACAGTAGTACAAAAAAAGTAAGTCCCAGTCAGCTCTATTGAAATCAGACCGTACTACTAATTCCAGTACCAACTTTGAATTTGAAGGACCATAACTAATTAACATTGTATCTCAGAGACTCGAACGACCACCATTGCCTCGGGATTAACGCTGACCACATCTTCGAGTTGTTAGTAATTCCAACGTGCAATGTGTTTGGGCCTCGCAGCAGGATCTCTTTGGATTGTCGCCCTCATTTCAAGCTTGTTTCTATTAATGGTGTCGTGTGGTGCTACAGATTGCTCTTGGGAAAAAGCAACAGATGCACGTGGACTCAGCAGGCATCGCACATCATGTCATTCTTACAAGAAATCTAGCTTTGCTTGCCACACAGAAGAGATGGGAATGCGCCAGAGAGGCTGTCTCCACGATTTTGGCTCCCAGCCGTGACCTGCCACGATCATTCGGAAACCATTCACATGTAGGTGGCCCTCTTAGCTGCCATGGTTGTTCTTAACTTACATAAACTTGAACATCAGAGAGTTGGCTGTCCGAAACCAATTGCTCCTTGCCGATCACTAGCAGAGCGGAGGCGAGGGTCTGCCCCTCGCAGATTTGATACACCCGAGTCCAGTCTTGTCGACTTGCAGCACCACATCGGGCCAGATGTTTCACAAAACGACAACGATATTGAAATGGATATCGACTTAGATACCTCTGGTTCGTGTATCTGTGAATAGAAGTCATAATTTTCTAATCATTTCACTCCTTCAGATGAACGGGCACGCTCTATGAGACAAATTCCAAGGCAGTATGCTGACATCGAGCGCTCAGAGGAGGATCTCAATGTCTCCGACAACACCAATAATCACAATACATGGACTCAGAATTCGGATACACTTCCAGCTCGAGCCAGGATCCGACGCATTCTTCTAACACTCGCGGATACACTTCAGACCACCATCAACTTGTTTGGTCTCTGCAGACTGTACCCTCGTCGACCTTTCTTCGAGCCGGATAAATTTGTTACATCTTCGTTACTTGCGAGGACGTCCCCCACTGCTGCTCAACTTGAAGACACTCATACTCCACCGCAGGTCTTTGCTCCCCCGTACCCCTTTGCAAACATGACAATTTATCGGCTGATCTCATGGATGAATTCTGGCAGTAGTCGAGTATCGGAATCTAAAGTTGCGTCCCTCGTCAAGGATGTAATTCTAGCAGGGGATTTTGACTGCGAAGACCTTCAGGGGTTCTCGGTGAGGCAGAGCTTGTGAGAATTAGACAAAGATGAGAGCGGGAAAAGAATCACGTTTCCGGATGACTGGGTCGGGACCTCCGTCACTATCGACATTCCAACCAAGGGGAGGGAGGATAGTCCCAGGCCTTATACCATTCCCGGGTTTCATTACCGGCCTCTCATTGAGGTTATACGTGCGGCATTCTCTGATGCTCAAGCAGGGGCATTTCATCTTCTGCCCTTCAAATGTCTGTGGAAGGATCCTCTAGACGGGCACGAAGAGCGGATATACAACGAACTTTATACCTCAGATGCCTGGTTGGAAGCACAGGACGGTATTCACAAGCAACCAAAGGAACCTGGGTGTTCGTTGGAACGGGTCATCGCAGGTTGAATGTTCTTTTCTGATGCAACCCACCTTGCAAACTTTGGAACCGCAAAGGCCTGGCCGCTTTATGCATACTTTGGGAATCTGACAAAGTATATACACTCTTCGCCGACATGGGGATCATGTCACCTCATAGGATTCTTACCGTCGGTGAGCGCTTTCATTGTATGTTTTTTGACCGCTGTGCACATCGACTACCCTCTTTAGCTCCCCGATAAAATCAAAGATATCCTCAGTAGCCTGCCTCGGGTATCAAAGACGGGTATGGCCTCCATCCAGACTCATTGCCGCAGGGAGTTGTTTCATGCATGCTGGGAAATATTACTGGACGAAGAATTTGTTTATGCATATCGACACGGTTTTGTTCTCAAATGTGCCGATGGAGTGATGCGGAGAGTATACCCCCGGATCTTCACGTATTCTGCTGATTATCCAGAGAAGTACCTTTTTGAATTGTGTTATTAACAATATGGCTAATAAATATTTTAGGGTTCTAATCGCAACTATAAAGGATATGGGCTTGTGCCCATGCCCTCGCTGCTTCGTACCGAAAGGCTTATTTAATTGTCTTGGTCTCGTGAAGGATATGAAAAGTCGCGTTACCAACCTTCGAGTATATGCTATGGCCCAGGTCATCAAAGCTCGTGAGTTTATCTATCAACTGGGAAATACTGTAGATAGTGCCAAGGTCGAAGACACCCTCGGAGAAGGCTCGTGGGTGCCTATCATGGTAAGTGAGATTGGTTCTATACTAGTATGATTAGCTCAAACCGGTGTTCCAGAATCAGTTCGTAAAGAAACTTGGGTCGCTCGGACTTGATTCATTTCGTATGCTCGTTGTTGACATTATGCACGAATGCGAATTAGGGACCTGGAAGGCTCTATTTACGCACCTCGTAAGGCTTCTTTATGCCCTTCCTGGGGGCGCTCAAATTGTCGCAACACTCGACACCAGGTACGCAGAATTCGTATGGACTGTTATTAATTCTCATTCTTACCCTAGATTTCGTCAAGTCCCTACATTCGGTAATGGAATAATACGCAAGTTTTCCAACAATACGTCCGAGATGAAAAGGCTGGCCGCTCGTGATTTTGAAGCTATTTTACAGGTTAGCTCTTTTTTCATTTCATATCATCCTCGCTAACATACCTACTAGTGTGCTATTCCGGTTTTCGAAGGGCTGTTCCCTCCTAGCCACGATACGGCTATCCAGTCCCTCCTATATTTATTTGCGCAATGGCACGCACTCGCTAAGCTAAGGGTACACTCTGACTCTACCTTGGTTTTTCTTGACGAAACCTTCAAGAAGCTTTCCCGAAATTTGCAGAAGTTTCGGGCTTATACTTGCACTGCCTTCAACACGGTGGAACTACCAAAGGAGAAAGCAGCTCGACAGAGAAGGTTTGAGAAGCGCTCGGAAACTGGTAACGCTCCTCCAGAATCAAGTGGGGTGAAGGGGCAAAAGTTCAATCTCAATACCTATAAATTTCACGCCATGGGAGATTACGTTAGAACTATAAGGTTCTTCGGGACAACGGACTCATTTACCACCCAAATTGTGCGTATCGGCTGCATTTTATGAATACAAACCTGAAGTCTTTGTACAGGGAGAACTTGCCCACCGAGCTCTAAAGGCTTTCTATCCGCTGACCAGCAAGCTTGACACCCCTGTGCAGTTAGCTAAACATGAGCGCAGGCGTCGTGTGCTACGGCGGGTGGCAGAAGCAGGGGGCACATCCCCCTCTATTGGTCTATCTCCAGTTGAGGCCTCCTCCTCCGGAAAAAATCACCATATTGCAATCAGTCAGAATAATCCTGTTGCTATATTCACATTCCTTCGAGACTACACTGATGATCCAGCTCTCAAGGTAGCAGTAATATTGCATTTTTTCAATGTGATGTACTCACGAGTGGTTATCAGAATTTCATACCGAAACTTAAGGATCACGTTCTTTATAGGCTGGGCAAGCTCGATATCAGCTACTGCGACCACATGTTCACGGATGAAGAGCGAAACTCGGTCATCATTCCTAACAACACAATCTATGCTGTTCAAACTATGCAAGTACATTACACTACATATGACATGAGGCGTGAGTACGACACAATTAATCCTAGAACACACGCCGATGTCATGGTACTCTCGGGTGAGACATCACCTAACCACCCATATTGGTATGCCCGCATGTTAGCTATCTATCACATGGAAACGTGGTTAAACAATGGAGGCACGCCTATGAAACATCATCTAGACATTCTTTGGGTTAGATGGTTGGCTCCGCTAGAGAACCATAAATCTGGTATGAAATGTGCTCGTCTTCCAAGGATAGCCTTTGTGGATGAGTCGGACACGGACACATTTGGTTTTCTTGATCCGGGGCAGGTAATTCGAGGAGCACATTTGATTCCAGCCTTCAATTCGGGGCGTGGTGTTAGCTCGCTGCAAGGTGGAAAGTCATTTGCACGTCCTGAAGGAGTGCTAGATGACTGGGAGGCGTATTTGGTTGGAATGTGCGTGTAAATATCTATTCATGCCTCAACCTTCTTCCTAACTTCTGAAACAGATTCGTAGACCGAGATATGTTTATGCGGTATACACACTTCGGTGTAGGACATCCAGCAATGTTGCGCAGGATAGCTAGAGACTCTTTCAGAAATGACTCACCATCCAGCATTATGAATGCCGTAAGCAAC